GATGTTGTTTTGTTTATCAAATGTCATTTAAATAAATAATCGAACGTTAATGTAAGTGGGAGTACTATGTTATTAACATATAAAAAGGCTGCATCGATACTTTTCCATTATTTACTTATTATGATGGCACTTTAAGATAACACGATAGCTTCATCAGTGTCCATTAAAAGAAAATATTTTCTATTCATATGACTATATGGATACTAAAACGACCATCTCATTTGACTAAAATATCAGATATTCGGACGTGAATGCATATGTAGATTGAGTAGTTGTGAATATTATATATTTCACCGACACCCACAATCTCAAGAGGATGAATGTGGATATAAACGAGAAAAAAGCGTCATTGGATTTGTTCTAGACCAAAAAAACTAAAAGAAATATTCTGATTTAAATATGCATTATTTTTAATGAGCATTGAGAATAAGTCAGATATTGAAATCAGATAAACATAAAAATAAAAAATATGCTTCCTTTTAAAAACTAAAATAATCCCATATGTGAGCTAGTATTTTATATTAACACAGAACATGTATTAAGCAGGATGTGGAAACAAACCTTTTCAGTTCACATTCCATGTGATTCTTATTAAAAAAATCAGCATCTTCTAAAGGAAATATAATATTTTCTGGTAAGACACAAGTAACAAGACTATCAATCATTTTATTTTATTAAAAACAATATATGTGACGTTTTGTTCTACCTGAGAACATCATCAGACACGTACAAGTGAGAGATAAAGTGTGATAGCTTACTCACTTGTGTCTTATCATTATTTAAATACATACTATCAAATGATGTTTTACTGTATAGCATTTGGTAAGTAGGATAAAGAATAAAATAATATTTTTTGTTAGGAGTATAATATCTGATGATTATAATAGAATAGTTAAACATGAACAAATGATAGAAGAAATTTCTTTGTAAACTAAACTTTCAAAATTTCTTAGTCTTAATTCAAAGTCATACCGAAATAAAAAATTCGAGTTTTTTATTGTTTTGTTGAATCATAGTAGAATTTCGCTTGTATTCTGATCGTATTAATTTTCTTAAAAATGGTCAATATACATTTGCATTTTGTATATTACTTTACATCTATTAAGAGCAAATTTTTGAGTTGCATTATAACGTGATCTTAACTCTAAATCGAATTCCAATTTAGATTCATACTATAACTATAGTCTATCGGGTAGGAGAACTATAATTTATCATTTATATAGTCGATGAAATAATCTTTGAATATTATAAAATCTATCACAAAACACTTCCAACAACGTTGCATATTCCTTAAAAGCACGTTAATATTCAATATTTTATTACTGATAATTAAAATAAATATTGTTTGAAAGAGTTTACTTCCGCATTCTACTTAAAATATTTCATAGTAAAGATGTGAACTGATAGCACAACTTCTGTTAGAATAAAATGTAAAACATGAAATAGTTGTTATAATGCCAATTATCAACGTTAATCATAATCTATGATAATAGCTGACTCATGCTTATTCTTATTTGTGTGAAAGAGACAGAATGCATGCAAATTTTCATTTTTGTACATTATAATTAGTTATCAAAATATGAATTTTGAACTCATTTATTTACAAAGAAAAGCAGATATTTGAAAGGAATATAAAACGTATAATTTGTTTCAATTAAATTTTTGTTTTGTAGATTTTAGATGTTAAAATTGTAAAAATTTACATAAAATATCAAGTATGAACAAGAACAAAACGAGACATAATGCTGTAATTCATTTTGAATAAAAAGAATAACATGAAATAATCTGTTTTTTTACTGTTTTAGTTTGAACCAGTGAATTCTAATACAAAAAAATCAACGAAAATGTTTGTATATATTACTAATTGTGATGATTGAAGAAAATGATCTTTTATTCTAGATATGAATATTTTGTACAAAGAGAAATAGGATGGAAAATACTTTGTATCGTTCTTCTTGTTTTAATCATAGGAACCCCAATACTTTTCTTGAAAGAACGTGAGATCAATGTTGAAAACACATCAGTAACAAGAATAACAACAAAGGGTGAGCACATAGAAAACGTTATTTTTTATTTCTTTGAGAAATTACATGAAATAACAGTAATACAACTTCATCCTTCATAATAATAGGTGAGTTATTATATTCAAATCTCAATAGTCTGTAGTGCAGAATTTTTATTAAAGTAAATTTATGTGAACTATGTCATATTTGTGAATGAAGATTAGTTTCGCGATTTTAACTGACGAATAAGATGGGATACTGTAGTAAAGAATATGTGCAAGAAGAATATCTAATAAATAAGATTTAGTAATATCTCTCATTCTCAACAAACAACTTAAGCTTTATCTATTTTTTTCTTTCCACAGATAGATTATCCTCAATTACGGTTCTAACATTTCAACAATTAGAATTACATTCAAAATACTCTCGAACTTCACTATTGATGAAATGACATAAAATTCACAAAACTGTATTATTTTCAGAAAGTAGTATACCTCATTTTTAAGATTTACTTATTAATCAAAGTTAAACAGTGAGATAAAATATTATTTGAGATCTTTACTATTAACAATGCTTTACTGTTGATAAGTACTTAACGATAGTTGCAAGTGTATAAATATAGATCTTATATTCATTTAAACCTCACACCTACCCTCAAAAATTTTACGAGTTTTAAAGATAACTATAACACTAGACACATTACTTATTACTCTAATAATAGCGTCAATGACAACGCTAGCATCAACTATATCAACATCAACCGAAACAACTACAACAATATCAACCATATCAACTACAAGAACCATATTAACAGTGATAACAACAACAATAACAACAACAACAACAACAACAACAACAACAGCAGGTGAGTACTTAGTCAAACGAGACACCACGTGATCAAAGAATTGCTACGCCTTGAAAGAAAATCAGTGACTATACTTGCCATTTAGTTGATAGGTGTACGTATAAGGTGTGAGTATAGATTAAATTTATACCCTAAATAATGTAAAATGTTTGAATTTTGTCAGGTACTTCGAGGTTTTGATTTTACAAAAAGCATCTTATCAGTTTTAAAGTTTTAAAAGTTCACGGGTTCGACTCTATTTAAGATTTTATTAGTTCGGTTCGAAAAAAAATACATAATTCAGAGACGTTTCTTATCGTGTGTTTATCCTTTATTTGGTGAGTAGTTTGTGGTGACTGTCATGATGGTACACCCAAATGTTGTTATACATGCCAGGACATTATAGATACTTACATATCACATAATTGGGCTTACGATATATCAGGTTTTGCTCTATGTAAACAATGACAGCAAAACGTGTTTTTTTCTTTCATTTTGCATTATTTTGATTCTGTTATGAGTGAAATTTTTGTACGTCTTTTGCTTCTTTCTATCTTTTTACCCATAATCGACATGTAGAGTAATATGTGTAAACTCATTTACATTCGTTTTATTTAATGATGCTTTTGTTTTTATTTTTTGTTGCATTTTTTGATTTTCGTTTGTTCTGGTATTTTCTGTACAATTAGTTCAAAACTTTTAATCTTTGTATTTTATTTTTGAGCTTTTGACAAGTGTTTCTTAACTCTTATATGTTGTTAATTTTTTCTCTTTATAAAAATAATTCATCTGTATAGCTTCTGAGGATCAATATAATAAATTACTTCTTATATATGTAGAAGTACGAGTGTGGAGGAGTTTCAAAGAAATGAATTCTAAGCTACTTATAAAGACCAATTTGAAGTTTAAAGAAGCATCTATAGATATTTATCTCATGTCGATATATAAGAAAATTATATCTAGGAGAGATCTCACCCCGCTTATACGAGACTAATTTCGTAGTTGATTGAATTTTTTTTTGTTTTTTCCTTAACTTTTATTCATCCACAATAAGAAAATCATCGATTATGGCTTAATATAACACCAAGGGTCTCCACTTCCTTCCTCGAGTGGTGACCAACAGCAGTTTGCAGCTTCACATGACTGTTTGTCACCCTTATAACAATTCTTACGTTCGTATCGATCTTGATAGGGACATCCTGGTGTGACTACGGCTGGTTTAAGATAGCACCAGGGTTCACCACTGCCTTCTTCCAATGGGGACCAACAGCAGTTTGCAGCTTCACATGATTGTTTGTCACCCTTTCGACAATTCTTGCGTTCGTATCGGTCTTGATTGGGACATGAGTCTGAGGTTATTGGTGTCTTTGAAGTTGTGGAGGGTCTAGTAGGCGCGGTGGTATCTGGTGCCGTTGAAGTTGTAGGGGACGCGGTGGTATCTGGCACAACAACTTGTCCTCCTTTTACTGTCATCATATCCACGACAATATTTCCGTTGTACAATTGAATGTTGTCGCTGATTGGTGTAGCACATGTTCCAGTCATCACTTGAGTACTGCCACGACGGACAGTCACAGTTTGAGTGCCTTGTTGGAAGGGAACGCCGATCTTATGAACACCAGCTGGTACAGAGATCGGATCATAAGTCTTACTACCTGATTTGATAACAACAGTTGCAGCAGAAGCCAACATTGTAATGACAAATATATGATCTTTTTGCATTTTCATCTCCTCGGGTAAACCTAATGGATCATTGGTGGCTTTGGCATTAAGTGAATGGGTACGATAAAAATAATAGGCTTTTTCTTCTGTGATAGCTGGTTTACTACCAGTTTTAAAAGCAGTATGATAATATGAAGATAAATCGAGTAGAGCATCATGAGGTAAACGAGCCCATGTTTGATCTTCTATAACACCTTCGACGGGTCCCAAATAACTTGATTCACCATGATCATTCCAAGTAACTAGTTCTATAAAATCGGGTTTCAGTTCCAAGAGTCGTTCCCATTTATCAAAAAAAATTTGATCATCTTCTGGATTACCCCAGTTCTTCGAATTGTAGTGAGTAAAAAACCACGGTGCAACACCAGCCATCCATGTTTTTCCGGTTGCTGCACGCAACGCAGCATAGTCAGCATCGACTTGTATATCGTTTGCAAAACCCAATGAAGGATTTGTCCATCTGAATAGACCATCGACGAATGGATAAGCATTTGGTGCAGGCGCTTGCCATTGATTAAACATAGGTACAAAATAAACGGGAAGACCACTAGCAGCAAGGACAGCTTTGATATCGGTATCCCAGTTGAAAGGAGCATTTGCACCTTCGAAAGTCGATAAAAACATTTTGTTTTGGTACCATAAATGATTTGGATGAGCTCCATATTTTATGCAAAGATCAAGCACTTCTTGTCTGGTTAAAGCGGATGTCAAATCAAAGGAGAAGAATAGCTAAAAAGGAAGAGGAAAAACAATAAAAGGTTTCTAATTTCAGTAGCCCGCAGAGCTTTCTAGTCATCGAGTATCTATCGTAATTCAACAGATACCGCATTTTGCAAAGAAACTACCTCGTTTAATTCCTGAATGTGAGAAAATAACTGCATATCAAGAAAAACTCTGTAATATTTGCAAAACACTGAATACATGTTTGTGCAAATTCCGCCGATTATCAATCTTCTGAGCGAGAAAACTGATAAAGTCGAGTAGTTCTTTGAACATTGAAGTTCATCTCGAAAACAGAATGCGAAGGGGCGAATACATTCTTTATGCTGCTTACAAATGTGTATTTAAGGGTGAATGCGGCTGATGTGGATGTGTTTTCACCTTCATCTATAAGATGATACTTACGCGAAAATTAGAATTAAGTGACTGTGCAGCAGCGAAAATGTCTGCGATAGACTTGAGCCAAATCTCCCGATATGTGTCTAAATTCCATCCACCAAAGTTCAGTGCGAAGGCGTCGACTCCGTTTGCTTGCGCCAGTTGAATGTGTTCTTTGTAATCAACGGCTACTCCACTTACCATCCAATGTGCCGCAACAAATTTGCCTTGGATTGATGTTGGCACAGCATCCGCTTGATTTGATAACCACATCACGAGACAAGCGACCAAAGTCCATGACAAAGGACGAGAAATATAAACCATGATAAGACCAGTTGTCAAGTGATCGATAGTAATAATACTTTATGATGTATATAGCTTCATTTGTAATAATAAAAACAAAGGGTTTAGCCAAAATTAGAAGTTAATTTTCAAAATTTTATTCTCAAAATGACTGGTTTGGAATGATAAAGAAATATTTGCTCTGTACTTTGTATTGACAGATATTTTAATTTCGATTTTTATCTCGAGAGACTCAAAATATACTAAAACAATGCCGGAAAAAGATAAGGTTTTGGTGAAAAGTGACTTTGCGCATGAATGAAATACGAATAGCTGAAGTATAGCTCTTGTGCATACGACAATGCATGTCGATAGAAAAAATTGATAAAAAAAGCTTAATAGTACAATCTCTACGGGATTAAAAATGTGAAACATGATATCACTGTTATAATTAATCACAATCACTTCATTAAATTCAACGGAATAGCGATTCGCTCTATTATGCAGTCTCAACTAATCGGAACAACAAACATTTAAAGCGCCAATCACTGTTTCATGTAGCCTATACCCAATGTTATATTCTTATACTTCAATATTCCTTGTAGATCGTGTTTCACAAATAACAATAATGGCTTTTTCGAACATTCAAATATATATCCTTGTAAAGGATACTCATGACTATTCAGAGGTAGAAAGTAAACTCGAAGCAACCATGAGTGAAGTGAGAAAAGCCCTTAACATCGTCGAATTATTCTCTCGCATTCAACTTGTTTTGAACTGAGCTTTATCTAAGCTACATTCATATACAGCGTTTCGACAGAATTCGAAGTTTGAACGAACTGGAAATTCATGATTCACTTTGGAAAAGATAATTTGTGTTGTTCTTTTAACTGAAGTATGTTTACTTTTAGCTGGTATCGGTGAAGACTTTCCTAGCAGTAAGCCTCGTTGAAAATAGACGCCTTTCCCATGACTTGGAAGCAAAGGAAAACGCTCTGTCTCTATTTGATAAAAATATAAAAGTACTTCACTCACCTTTTCACGTTGAGAATATATCAGATGCTCTGTTCTTTCTTTACATATATATATATATATATATAGATATTTATATACTGAGAAAAGCGAAAGCCATCGGTAAATACGCGGACAAACACTTTTTTTTCACTTTTAAAGACACCTGTCGTGATTCCCATCACATCCACACAAATAATAGCATCGAATGAAATAAAAAAATTAAAAATGAACAGCAACTGAATAAGTAGTGGGTATGAGTGGCTCTTTATTTCACCCACATGCTGAGAAGGCGGATGAGTTACTAAAATATATTAATGAATATTTATTACACATTCTATTGATATGAATCACATTGAGTAGTTGAAGCTGCATGAAAAACAAACTATAAATAATACTGAATATTTTTATTCGTTCTGTTGCCAACCGAAATCGCTACGAATGCAAAAAAAGAAAAAACAAGGAACGTTGAATTTATATTTTGGAGAGAAAACAAAACCTTCATAATGATGACAAAGAGTCTAGCATCCATTTCTAATGCATGAAAAGTAACTATTTATCTATTATTTTATATAAAAATATACAAAATGACAAACGCTCATATGTCAAAGACGATTTTAATAATAAATTCGACATATGTTTGATAAATCAATACACAAATCAGTCTGCATCTCTTCTTTGAGGGTGTGAGATGATCTTCTACCCACACCCAGCTTTGTTCTATGATTGATCAACTGTGTATTTTAGTCTTTTATGAACATTTTTTCAACAAGAGAACGAGACTACGAAATATTCTTTTGATTTCATTGATTTTATTCATATTGCAGAAAGAAATTAATGTTGTTCTGTTTGTCTACTAAAAGTGTGCTTTTAAAATTCCATTTTTGGTTAATACCATTCCACGTTTCACAATAAAGCTGGAAACTATCACTTGTACAGTTGGTATAAACAGTAAGTTATTTATCACATTGTCATCAACACCACTAGGAAGGATACAAGCTAGCCCTTTTTGCACCCACTAAACACGTAATAAACTAGCATTCTAGTGTAATTCGAACAAGCTCAAATTAATCAGAAATTCGTGACAAAATAATATTGATAATATATAATGTGTTTACAGATCCTTTCAAGGTTTCTCATTTGATTTATATTCTATTTTTAAACTCGCTTTCATTCACTCACATCAAAATGCGCAAAACCTTAACATAAATTATTCCATTAGTCACTTTGTGCGTATTTTTTTGTTTTTATATTTATTCACTCGCTGGATTTTTTTTTCTTTTTTTCTCTTATTGAGTTCCTTTTTAACTTTGTGCGTTTTTTTTTATTTATTCCCTCGCTGGTTTTTTTCTTCTTTTTTCACTTACTGAGTTTTTTCTTCTTTCTTTCTCGTATTGAGTGTTTTCTTCTTTTTTTCTCTTATTGAGTTCTTATTTTAACTTTCTGCGTCATTTTTTATTTATTCTCTCTATAGGTCTTTTTTTCTTCTTTTCTCTCACTGGGTAACTTGAGAAAAAAGCTCAAATCAACATTTTAAAATGCGATAGAATAACTGTTTTTGATATTTTTTCACAAAGAAAATTGAAGATTGTGTACATTGTTTGGTATCCAGTAAATAGAGAGAAAAAAAGAGAAAAAAAATATTGCATATAAATATTTTTATCTTGCTTATTTCATCCATTACATTTGAGGACAAACACAAAATAAATTCATTCAAAAAATAATATAATAGAAATGACAATGGAATTCCATTCAATTGATCAAATCGGTCATGCTACGGTGAGTAGAGGTAGCACTCTCACTTTACTTGAACTTTAATTTTAAAATTAAAGTAGATATTCAAACAATGTTGTTTCACATCATTCCTAGTTAGTCTCTTAACACTATCATTATATGTGTACGAGATAGTCGTTGTCATTTTTTTATAACGTATCAGGCAGTAACATCTATGAATTTGTGAGTAATTCCTATACATCTTGATATGTTATAGAGACCGTCCTGAACAGGACTGGACTGTAGCACTCATATTCATGGAAGCTCATATAAACGTGAGCGGCAGTCGTCAAGAAGGTAATTGTAGTCTTCTAAGTCCTATATATGTGGACTGTCTAGGATCCATCAAATCCGATATATGGAGAGCTCCCGAGCTCTGCCGAGTTCAGCTTAAGGTGTCATTGTTGAGCAAAAAGATATCAACACTCATCTTCAATCATGATATTCAGGTTGAAGTGGATAATGCTGATTCCTTTTAGGGGGAAGATCACCAGCAAATAGGGTTTAGATTACCGGCACATAATCAAGCACCTGCTGCTTCCTCAGTACCAAGAGTTTCTAATAATCAAAATCAACAAGGGGGTTCTTCGTAAGTATTTTACATAATTGTCATGTGCTGCTTATCGATCATTTTTCGTGTTAATGTAAAAGATTTCAACAATGTTTCAAACGATTTTCACGTAAACAATGGATTTGCATTGGTATAGCTGTCTTTATAATACTTTTAATTATTATTATTATTGCTGCTGTTCTTGGCTCCAGATCATCGAAAAATGAAACAGGTGTGTTTATTCTGCTCATGAGTTTGAAAAGTTATATTTTCATAAGGATTCGTGAGAGTGTTCTTTCACTGTAAAAAATAAGTTTGGAATAACATACTCTTCGAAAGGCTTTTTTTTATCAGAAACCCTACATACATTTTACGAAAAATTGTTTTTCACCTGTATGACACTTTCATGAACAGTTGTAGCATGTACTCTAAAAAGTATTAGTGTAATACCGAACATTTACCATGAAACGTGTTTATACATCGACCAATGATGATTCATAGAAGCCGTTAAAAATACGTGTTGACTGTTTGAATACGGAAATATCTCATTTGATCGAGGCAGGTAGTTCATGGTTCTTTTCATTTCAAGAGAATACATCCAGTTTTATGATTTTGAGAATTATGAAATTGGTTGCAGTTAGTTCCAGAAATTTGGAAGAGGCAGTATTACTTCCTATTTCTGAATACTTGCTGATTCCGACTAACTATAAGTTATATTAGGCAAGAAACTCTGTGAAGCTTAACGTTTCGAGAAAGGGCTTGAGCACATCAGATAATCCCTTGGGTGCACCAACTTTTGTTTCAAACTGAGCAGTTATTGTTCTCAATGAAAACTTTTGTTGTACGAAAGCAACATGTAATCTTTTTGTATTTTAGCTTCTTGTAGTAGCAGAAATAGTTCCTGTTCGTCAGTGGCATGCTGTTCCGGTTTCACTTGTATAAATGGTTCTTGTGTCGGTAAGTCGATACCGATTTGAGGATGTGCGTGTGGATAATGTGAGTAAGAGGGAGGATGATTTATTAACCCACAGCCAACCAAAGCAACTATTGTTCTGAATTAAAAACTTTTTTAATGCGAAAATAACATGTAATCTTTTTGTATTTTAGCTTCTTGTGGCAGCAGAAATGATTCGTGTTTGTCAATGGCATGCTGTTCGGGTTTGACTTGTATAAATGGTTCGTGTGGTGGTAAGTTGATAGCGATTTGAGGATGTGAGTGCGGATAATTTTTGTATTTTAGTTTGTGGTAGTAGAGGTGATTCGTGTTCGTCAGTGGCATGTTGTTCTGGTTTTACCTGTATAAATGGTACTTGTGGCGGTAAGTTGATATCGATAGAAGGAATAGTGAAGAGAAAAGTACTGTATTACGGAAACTAAACAGTTTCTGATCACCAATACATTTCTAAAATCCTTTAAACATCCTATGGAGAAGAGGTTTCGGAGGCCTCGAGGATATGAGAGTAAATTGAATACCTATCTCTCACATGCCCATATCCAAATCCAATTAGTCGAATTCTTGCGCTGAAAAGTCAAGAACTGGACATATCTATTTTAAGTTACTTGATCATAATAAGAGAAACAGAATCCTTGACTCTTATCATTTCATGCAAAAAAGGGATCTATTGCTGATTGTCATATACTCGTAGTCCAATCTGTACGTATACTGGATAAAAAATTATTTCCACTTATTCCTTTTAGAAGGAACTTCTTGTTGGAGAGACAAAATATACATTCATATTTCATTCTAGGATGGTCAGTTTCTGGTAAAATGAATACTGGACGATTTCGTCACACAACATCCGTATTAACAAATGGAAAAGTATTAGCTGTTGGTGGACAGAGTCAGAGTGGCATTATAAATAGTGCCGAATTGTATGATCCATCAACAGGATCTTGGACAATTACTGGTAGCATGAATAATACACGAAGAGATCACATAGCTGTCGTATTGGTAAGTGGAAAGGTATTAGTTACTGGTGGATATGGTACTACTGGTCTTCCTCTAAATGCATCTGAATTATATGATCCAGCAACAGGGAGCTGGACAACTATTAGCTCCATGAATGCCCCACGAAGTGCGCATACAGCATCTATATTGTTAAATGGAAAAGTATTAGTTGCTGGTGGAAGTGGTGCTCCAAATAGTGCTGAGTTGTATGATCCATCAACAGGAACTTGGACAACTACTGGTTCCATGAATGTTGGGCGAAATGTGCACATAGCATGTACACTATCAAATGGGATGGTGCTAGTTGCTGGTGGATCTGGCGTTGGTGCTGCAAATAGTGCCGAATTATATGATCCAACTACAGGAAAATGGACAACTACTGGAAATATGACCTATGCACGATCTTACCACACAGGGTCTATATTGATAAATGGACAAGTATTAGTTACTGGTGGTGGATATAATGATATTTATTTGAATAGTGCTGAGTTATATGATCCAGTAGCAAGAACGTGGACAACTACTGGAGCCATGAATACTCAACGATATGAACATACAGCATCCATATTAGCAAATGGAAAAGTATTAGTTGCTGGTGGACTTCGTGCTTCTGGTGCTGATGGTACTCTAAATAGTGCTGAGTTGTATGATCCAGCAACACAAATGTGGACATATACTAGCAGTATGAATGGTACACGCTTTTTTCATGCAGCATCGATATTAACAAACGGTCGAGTATTAGTTACTGGTGGAAATAATCTTGGTATTCCTTTAAACAGTGCAGAACTATATTAATTATCATAGATAAGTGTGAGTGCGAGCGTATGTATAGTATGTTTCTGAATATTGTATATGTGTAACGATGTTTATCCCATTCTTATGATTTATTCTCATTTCAAGTATTGTCCTTATTTTATATGTCATGTGATACTTTATCCCCCATTTTATTTTGTCCTTGCTGTCTTTTTCTTTCATATTCTTTCTTTCTTTCTTTCTTTCTTTATGATGAACAGGTGTGGATGTGGATATGAATATGGATGTGTGTGTGGTTCAAGATGCATGAAGAGAAGTCAATCAGTCTCGTTCACAACCATGCCCATGCCCACACCCTCACGGGATGGTTTCAGCAGAAAAAACAAATAGAAGTATACCAGCGAAAGAACAATCAACAAATACAAAATGTACTCTTTCTTATATTAACCATTTTTTTCTTCTTTTTGTGTGAATGGATTGTTGTCTCTGTACATTATTTTCTATACGTTCACGAGAGATTTTGTTTGTTACCTTATTGAAAATCGTTTTGCAAAGAAAAACAAAAGTTTATAATATCATCTTTTGGAATTCATTTAAATAGAAATTGATTACCAGATATTTGGTTTTTACATGATCATTTATTTTAATTAAAATCTTTATATTAGCAGATGGATGTCGATAATTCAATGCATTTCAAAAAGCAGAGGTTTTAATCAGGAGCTTAACATTGATAATTCAACTTAATAAATTATTTCTTAAACTAATTGAAAATCACATAGATATAAATAATGAAAAAATATCCTCAGAACACCCATGTAAACATGAAACGCAGAATAGACGCGTATAATCGCGTTTCTCATTGAAAAACGCAGTGAGACGCGGTTAAAACTGAATTTTCCTGCGTTTAGACGCGTATGTATGAACAAACGCATACAAACGCAAAAAGGAAATAATTTCAATTTGCGTCTAGACGCGATCGTGTATATGATCGCTTTTAGACGCAGCTCAAAGAAGTCTTCAATGCGTCCGAACGCGAGGGTCAACAAAATCGCGTTTACAAGCGGTTGATAAAGTTTTTGAAATGCGTTTGCACGCAGTCGCATATGTTAACGCGTAGGTTCGCAGGTATAGAAAATCGTCGAACGCGTTTGGACGCGGCATTAACTTAAACTGCGTTTACAAGCGGTTGATAAAGTATGTTGAAATGCGTTTACACGCAATCGCATACTTGAACGCGTCTATACGCAGTTATACAAAATATCCAAACGCATTTGAACGCGATCTTGTAAAGAAGCGCACCTGAACGCAATTGTATGCATTTTTCGAACGCGGTTGAACGCGATCGTTAGTTAAAGTGCGTTTGTACGCGATCAATGAGACTTATTCAAACGCATCTCAACGCGATTTTGCATTAAATTATATCCCTACAGCAATGCGAATAATAAGAAAAGTTTATTCTACAGTTTTAGTAAGCGTAGATATCATAAAATTATAAAAAGGCATACAATCTGATTTTTTATATAGTTGAATTTAGTAAGAACTAAAAGAAATTATTAGTTTAAATATTTAGTACTACATGCACGTAAGACAAAAATTCCTATGAAGATACGAACTAGCTTGTCTAAAAGCTTTATGTATGTGAATGTATCGAATGAAAAAGTTATTTTATTAGCAACTAACATAAATAGACTATATTTATAGTTATTCTGAAGCAACCTACACACTTCTTCTTTATTATAATAATTATATTAAAATATACTTTGATCAAAATCATCATTCAAATATGAATATCTTTGTTCAAATACGGACCAACAAAGAAAAAAAAAGAATTAAAAATATCAAAAAAATACACATGTTTCTGTTAGCTTTGAGACAAAAACATTTATAGGAGACTATTAATTATATTCGACAGCATCTAAAGTTTCACAAAATTACAAAATACCCTTCTTTATAAGTGTACAGATATATCTATCAAATCAGATTTTGGTGGAATAAAAAAAAATACTGTGCGTAACGAAATTTCGAATATTTATTATTCTGTATCTGGCAAAAAACGTAAAATTCTAACAATTGTTTTCAAATAGCGAATCTATAAACAATATTGAATGTTCCTATCATCAATTATTAAGAATAAATAAATATCAATCTCTTAATATATTATTCTTCGATTTTGATTAAACTTTGTCGAAATAATCCCTAAATGTTTAATTTAAGTGACGGATTTCAATTTTAAGAATATAGAAAAATTGTTCCTAATATTTACATTAGATGACAAAAAGAAAACAGAGAAAAAAGAAGTATATTATTTCATAAAATATGATATTCAAATAATAAATTTTGATATATTGGCGCCATTTAAAGTTGTATAAAAATTTGCTTTATAGAAAAAGAATACAACGAAAATGGTTTGAACAAAACAAAATTTGAGAAATTTGAGAAAAAATTGTATATTAGGCTGTTTTTCATTCAAGCTAATTTTGTGTACGAAAATAGAAATATTAATACTTAAAATAAATATTTATGTCAAGACTATTGAAATAATACATGCATTCACATATATATGAATTTGAGATTCACATACAGTTCATCATTCATATGACAACGATTGTCGTCACATGTGACTGAACGGTATGTATGCTTGCTTGTTAATCGCTTGTTCGCTTGTTCTATTCTCGCTTGTTCACTTGTTCTATTCTCACTTATATCATTCTAGAAAAATCAAAAAAAAAATGCAATAACACTCCGTTGGCCTATAATGAGGTAAAGACCATCGTTAGGGGATATTGATGGCGACTCAGATCAAACCTGAGACGGATTGTGATGTTCTTTTTCAATTTTAAAATTCAGCCGAACGCGTCTAGACGCAGTTCTATTTATTATCATAGTTTATATTTGAACTGCGTCTAGCATCGTTTCAAATTCGAACTGCGTCGTCAGTGAAACAATTGATGCGTTTGGACGCGTTTTATTTCTAACCGCATCTAAACGCATTTTCTCCTTAATCGCGTATAAACGCAAGGATTGTTTCATCTACGCTGCGTATAGACGCGTTCCTATTACTGCAATTCAGACGCGATTTGAACGCAGTTGACACGCGTTTTTATACAAAAAATATTTACATGGGCATTAAATCAATTTTCAATTAGAATTTATTGTATCGCATAACTCTTAGTGGAGTTTATATGGATTAATGGTATTCCATCAAAAAAACATATCAAGTATTTTCTTGTTAGTTAGATCTTATAAAATCTCACCCTAAAATAATATATAAAATCCTGTTAGCATATTTTCGAATAGAATTGAATTATTGTAAATGATGTATTTCACTTGAAATGTATAGTTGAGTTTTCGTTATACATAAGCAAAATAAAAAATACATAGTTTATGATTTAATAAAAGAAAATTTATAGTATAACTAAAAGCGTAAAAGTGAACGTCTTATAAGGTTAATTATATATTATTACGTAGACATTATATTCAAGTTATTCATCGACTTGTGCAAATGGAAGGCAATAGTTTTATCTGTGAAGAACATGTTCTAGGTTTTCATCAATAAGATTTGAACATTATTTATAAATAAAATAACAAGAGAAGTTGAATAGATGATAAATATTTCTTTGTAACTTCTAGAGAGTATCTCAATGAAACCGATTCAACTATCAAAAGATCAAATATTAAAATTTTCTATTCATTATATTACATATATTAGATCTATCTAATATTGAATTCGATCGCAATTATTATTCTTATTAACAAAAACAAAATATTCTGAACACTTCTTCTTTTACTACACATATTATATAAATATATATAATACGAAAAAATAATAATACTTGCATTTGAATGATTTTACTAGATTGATTTTTTTTATCTAAATAAGTATCACTCACAATAATATTAAAGATATCACTTGTTTGATTTTGTCATAATTTCTATGAACAAAATTTAATATAGAAATTGGTAAATGATCTCAGATCTTTATCAATTATCTGATGAGCGATATAACAAATTTATCTGATACATTCTATAATAACTACAGCAAATAAAGAATTCGATAGTTTTAGCAATATTCTTATTGCAGATAAACAGGATCATAAATTCTATTCATCACTTATTTATATTCACATTCCAAATCAACATCTTTTAAAAACACTCATAAAATACATAATCATCTTTGATTCTATTCTTTTTCTATGTTTATAATTTAAGATTCTTTCTCTATAGATCAATAAAATGATGAAAACATTTTAAACAACGTTTACAATAAATAATCATCTCTCTTTTTCGATGAATCATTTATGTACCTCTCTTTGTTATTTATGTTGTCTTTTTTTAGATTTTAGTTATACATACTATCATCATATTCATTTTTTAATATTTGTGATTCTTGTAATACTTTACACAATTATAAAAATAAATTCATAACAGATGAATATTAATCATTAGAAGATCATATCTTGTTCTTTTTTCATAAAATAAACTCTCATCTCATTAATTACTACTAAACCTATAGAACAATTGTTTCTTTTAAGTAAGAATTTTGCTGTTTCTAAATTTCAAGCTAAACAACAATTCTTTATTTTTTCATAACAATAAATGTGAAAAAAATAAGAAATAAATTCTTTTTCTATAAAATACTATTAATAACACTAACTAAATCAGTTTCATATTTGATGATTTTATCTAAAATATTTTTTACTCTGTGTAGAAAAAATGGTTTTTAAAAAATAAGAGTTACATGAAAAATAAAGTCATAACGGTGTTGAAAAGAGCATCTAAATAATACCTAAATCTCTTATTTGATTTCTAAGAAATGTGACCAATGAATGAATTCTTATAAAAAAATTATTAAGTAAACATGAATCTGTTCCATTCACGTTTTCTTTTACTTCCGTTAATCAAAACAAGCTCATATAACTGATAATGTTTTTAAACTTCGATTGAAGAAATATTACAATTTTAAATGTGATGAAAGAACACAAGAAAAGAGTATCTGATGAGAATGAAAATCTGAAGGGTGAATGTGTGTTTGACTACGACTGATCACCAACATCCACACCCACATTCTCTATTCAAACATGTTCGACCGAACTCCATCACTCCCAGAGCCTCAAAACATTCCTTACGGATTCGGAGCCTGTTGAGTTCGCCTTGTAAAAAAGGTGTACCTTTGACTATGATGTGGATGGAATGAAAAAATAATATTAAGATAAGAGTATGACTATACCTTTGATGTTGGAGATGTTATTAGTTATCTTCTGTTATTTACGTGAGTAATAGGCAAGCAGCAAGTAGCTTCGAACAACAGTGTATTCTTTTTTTTTGCGTTTAAGTTTCATCTGAAATATCATATGCACACCAGCCAAGTTTACAGAGAGCGTATTACTCTAAATAGTGGATCACACAAATGGCGGCAACACCGTTGTTTTAAAATAATCGGCATTTCCGTTAGTTTTATAATCGTTGTTGCTGTTGTTCTTGCTCTGGTGTTTAACTTCGTTGTTTTTGCACCGAAAAAATCAGAAACTAGTACCACTTCCGCAACATCATCGTCACCACTAACCACAACAATATCAACACCACCATCATTATCAACAACACCACCACTAGTGACATCGTCTACAACTTTACCACAAACAACAGTTATGACTACAACTCAGCAGCCAGGTAAGCTCCATAGTAACGTTTTTCGGTCTTCTAAGTGGTACTTTTAAATCCGATATAAGTAGTTGCTTTGCATCCAACAATTTTCTATATCTAACCAAAAGTTACATTGAAAGAACAATGATATTGTTATGATTGATTCAACCGTTATCTTAAGAAAAAACGAAGATCCAATAACCCTCGCATTCGCTATTTTTCATCACGATCAAAACTCATGTAGTATTGTTGACATCGATGCAACGAAATCTATTTTTTTTTATTCGTTTCTTATTACTACATACCCTACTTTTAAGCATAAAGAAAGCAGAAAAAAAATCAGTTTGCTTCAAAGGAGCGTGCGTATATCTGTCACGCACGGCATTTCGCGCGCGGAAATGCCAGTCAATTCTCCTTCTCTCTCCTTTGTGTGTAAATATAAATAGCTGTATTTGCGTATTATTTACTAGTTAGTCCATCAGCTTTAATTGATTCTTCTGCTCCCTGGATACGTCAGAGTCCAGGTTTCGGACACGATACGATGGGGTCTATTCCCTAGACTGAAAAGGATAGGGTCTAGAAACGGGAATTATCTTTTTACATGTATTATTTTTGTCGGTAACATGGCACAAGTGACCATTTTTATGGCACATCTGACCATTTTTTAGGCACAAGTGACCATTTTTTTGGTACAATTGACCATTTTTTTGGCAGATTTGACCATTTTTGCAGCACAAGTGACCATTTTTATGGCACATCTGACCATTTTTTGGCGCAAATAACTATGTAACTATGGTATATTTTTGATAATATAATTTTATTTGTTATTATTCTTTTATTTTAATAGCATAATCTTTAATATATAATATTTTATTCAATCGTACGAAAAGAGCGCTTACTTAAATATTTAAAATATTTCTTAATTATATATATATATATAATATTTTATTGTATCAAAAGGGCGCGAACTTAAAAATTTAATTTATTCGTTAAAAAGGGCGCAAGCTTAAATATTTGAAATATTTCTTAATTATATATAGATCATTATTTTATTGAATAAAGTGAAATAATGAGGCAACACCAATTTTTCGTTTAATATGGAGGAAGATCAAATAATATTAATAATAAAAAAACGGAACATTCGTATACATAGAGTATTATAAAGCTTTGGAAAAAATGTTTGCCTATTTTTATATAGCATATCATTTAGCATCATCGACAAATATTTTTAATACATGTTTGAAAAAAACGATGATGTGTCGAAACGTCCTATATGATAACTCAATAAACTAAGACTCAGAAGTAGAAGCTTAAAAACATACGCATTGTAATTTCGTCATATTAAAAGTCTAGTTGATGCATTATTGCAAAATATTTTAATAAATTTGTCGGTTTAATAGTCTTGCTATAGTGCTTATAGATAAAAGAGTTCAAAATCAATTTTGATATATAATGATAGAAAGATCTACACTGTAGTTTTTTTGAAATCCTACTTTTTATAAAATTGACTTTAATAAAGCTAAAGCATTTTCAAACTTTATTATTCATTCGTCAAATATCAAACTTTTAGAAAATACTTGACTTCATATAAGATAGAACTTCAGTTTGATTCTCTGCTGAAAGTCAAAACTAACATTGATTAACTCTCATTCGTATATAAATAGAGTTATATTAGCATGCAGACCGCGACAGTCTAGGGTCAAGTGAATCGAATTTCGATGAACGCTACTTGTTTTCTTGGTTATGATAAATCTCCGCATACCTCAGTCTGGAACGGTATTGTAAATGCAACCGTATCTACGCACCGTTTGCATTTGCAAAAATTTTTAAAAAACGAACCGGAAAAAGAGAGAAGGACCGCTTTTTTGATCTTGCTATGGTAATTCGTCAAAGATTTCGCAAATCCGATCGTTTTTCCTGTACCTAGGGAGTTTCATAAAGTGACTTTTATGAATAGAAGCTGTATATAATCAAAAGTACATTAATTCTTAAAAACATTGTTATGACAAGTATAAAATACAAACCTGTTTTATATATCATCCTCGTATACGGTTCTCTATCAAAAATGCGAAACTTACTTTTACACTGTATCAAGAACTAGTTTTTACAACAAATTTGAGACTTTTTACATTCCCCAAAAAGTTTAAAAACCTTACTATGAAAAGTAAGAACCGGTTTTCATTTTACAAAATCTAAAACTTTCTGCACATAATTGCATCATTTTGAGAGTTCCACAAAAGACAGTCTTATGAGAATGAATACAATTAAATGTTTCTGTTTAGAATGGTCCTTTACCGGTAATATGCATATTGCACGACGAGATCACACAGCATCCGTACTGTCAAATGGAAAAGTATTAGTTGCTGGCGCAATGGGTGCTGAAAAAAGTACTGAATTGTATGATCCATCAACAAGTACTTGGACAACTACTGGTAATATGAATAATATACGAGTTGATCACACAGCATCTCTATTATCAAATGGAAAAGTATTAGTTACTGGTGGATTAGCTTTTAATGTTTTAAATAGTGCTGAGCTGTATGATCCATCAGCAGGTACTTGGACAAATACTGGCATTATGAATAATGTACGACGAATGCACACAGCATCTGTATTATCAAATGGAAAAGTATTAGTTGCTGGTGGAAACAATGGTGGATGGATTAACTATCTCTTAAATAGTACTGAGTTGTATGATCCATCAACAGGTGTTTGGACAACTACTGGTAGTATGACTAATGCACGACATTTTCACACAGCATCTGTATTATCAAATGGAAACGTATTAGTTACTGGTGGATGGAACGGCAATATTACTATGTATAGTGCTGAATTGTATGATCCATCAACAGGCACTTGGACAACTACTGGTAACATGAATAATGCACGAAGTGGTCACTCAGCATCTTTATTATCAAATGGAAAAATATTAGTTGCTGGCGGAGCTGGAGCTTATAATATCCTTGGTTTAAATAGTGCAGAGTTATATTAAGTATTCTAAGCAAATTAACATTCAATTATCTTATCCTTTTTCTTGCAAATATTACAAATTCCAAACAAGACTTTAGTTAGAAAAAATGTCACTTTGTGACGTCTGCTAACTGTTTCGTTTGATACTTTTACTGAATTATTGTTTACTTTAATATTCGATTTCAAATAAATGAAATCTTTTTGTTTTTCTACTCTTATAAATTATTTTATTATGATTAACAAAAGTCACAATTGATAGGATAATTTGAATTATTCTTTCAAATGTTCTTTTCGCTTTGCAGAGTAGTTACTCTTAATATTTGATTGTTTTGGTACTACTCATCAGATTCTGCATGTATGATTGTTGAAACGTGTTGGTTACAAAACGACTTCGAAGTAAGTTCATGAATGGCGTAGATGAACATATCTGTAAATAACAATAACAGAGAATCGAAAACAAAATCTATAATCATATAAAATATATAAACTAATGAGGTAAACAAAATACTTACATTCAACTTATCTTATTATTATATAAATATGTATTTTAACAAAGAGAATCAACAATAAGACAATTTCTGTTTAATAATTCTTTACGATCAGTGATTATTTCATTGTTAGTCTTAAATTTATCAATTCAAACCACTCGAAAAAAATCAAATTGATGAGTACAGAATATCTATAGAGAAGTATCGTTGAAATATGAAGACAAAACTGTACAAAGATCTACTTTTTGTTCGTCATTTTAATTTATTTTATAGAATATATAACTATTCAACTTTGTCTTTGACTCTTTACTTATGGTTTTTTTTATTAAGATGAATATCTTGTTTTTCGTTCCAAAACAGTCTTGAATAAATTTTATTAACATATAAAAATATTCAGAAATGTTGCAGAGTATGATAGTCTTCGAAAAAACACATCACACTGATGGCGTGTATCGGTACGCTTTTTCTTACATCTGCTTGTATGACTACAAGCTATACAAGATCTTCGTACAATATTTCCTGTTGGATTAAATGAGAATCATTATTCATAGATGTTGCCATATTTAGCGAAAACTTTTGTATAATAGATATGAATAATAAGTTGTTATGTAGAAGAAATACCTGTAGAATAAGAAGAATTAATTTTGATTTTGTGAGAATACATATCGAGGGTGGGGTGGGTGTGGGTGTAGTGGTATGATAATACAATATGAACATCCACACCCACACCCTCAAGATAAATAAATTTACTTTGTACGATAAGACATTGCCAAAAGCCGAAAATATATCATAAAGTAATTTATCACTAATCCTTTCGTCTAAGTTTTCAATAAAAATCTTGTTAATACCTGGTTTACGTAATGCTAGATCATGTTGAGACTGTATAATATGTAACGGAGGACCATGAAGAAAATCAAAGTTGATTGTATCGAATGCATGTTTAGCTGAAACGATAGAATTTTTTATTTATTTATTGAAGAATAGATCTTTTATCAAAATCAATTCTACTATCTTGAGAATAATATTCTATAGCTCGAATATAAATAAAAAGCGAAAAATCGTTCTTTTTCTTTTTCTTTTTCTCATTTCATTTGATCACATATCATCGTATTACAATAGTTAATAAACTGATATACCATCAACTGGTATTTGAAAATTGACTTCAGCATAGCCAAGTGATCGTCCTGTAATCATATAACGAAAGACTCGAATTGATAAAACTGATCCGATACTTGCAAATTTGTCGAATAACATAGTCTCGGTAACATCAGGATGAAGATTATCTTTTATTCAAACGAAATTAGAATAAAAACAACAATATTCAAACTTACCAACATGTAATGAACTACAGAGTTGTGTGATTGCTTTTTATGAAATTATTTTTTACCAACAAATGACTGTGCACGCGCATACACATAAATAAAAACTCACTCTACCTAGGTGATTCAAAAAATAAGTGAAGACGATCAACATGACTAGTCCGGAATGTCTGCAACACTCGTCATGTATAGTCCGTTAACCACGTCTAAACTAGTCAGCAAAATAGAACAAGAAGACGGAAAGTAGATTCAAACATTTGACTGAACAGTCTTCGATAACTGATGAGCAACATGATGACAGACTATAACATATCGATAGACTAACGACAGTTTTGACCATCCAAATGGGTCTACGAAAGATGCACACGATATATATATACGCACACACATTTATAAAGAAACAAAAACAAAAAACATAGACTAGTCTGTTCTTTTTATTTCATTTGATAGTGATACGGAAATCGGTCATCAATCCAGACTATTCATTTCTGTTACAGTCTTGTTCTATATCACTGTTAAATGAAATGAAAAGAACAGACTACAATGTTCTCATCCAACTCTATGGAAATTCACTGACAAATTGATTTTCGAAGAAGATTCAAATATTCATACTAAAATTGTTCGAGCAAATGCTGGCGAATCACCTTCAAAGAAGAAAAAAGACCAGTATCTTGACAAACGTTTAGTCAATCTTGTCTCAAATCCTTATCACAGTATTATTGATCAAATTACTGCATTAGCACATAATATTACTCTTAATTGAATATTTTGATTTGAAATATGAACACTCAGTTAGTAATATTATATGTATTTTTATGGACGTTATCATCAACTCTTGTTTTTGTGTCTTACTTATAAATCTAAATATTTCAGCTTAAGATTGTAACGATATTGACCGTTATGCTTCACCTAATCTATATCATGACCGTCTCCACCTATCACTGACCTTCTCTCTCTTTGTGTAACCACCCTATATAAGTTGTGTTCAATAAAGGAAAGGCACGATTGTGATTGGGCAGATGACACAAGACACCATCATGTCGAAAGGCACAGGCAGTCACTCTCACAATTCGCCACACCCTCTTTTACATACCGGCCCATCACTAGACGCCTCAATCTTTGTCTCAGTTGACCTTGTGACCGCTCTCTTCTCGTGTGACCGCTGTGCCTGACTGCCGTTCATTGTCTATTTCTTCTATATAAGCGTGTATTCTATATATGAATGATACGACTTATTGCATGAAGAAGCCAAATAAAGCAAGTATCACTATCTCACAGACACTTCTCTCTTCAAATTCGTCACATTCAAGTCATAATCAGTTCAATTGAAGATTTTCATTTTCATTTAATAAATCTATAGAATACTTCAATATTCTACGACAATGTCTATTGTATACAATATATTTTTAGATTCGAATCTGATCTTACTTACTAAATATTTTGTGATTCTTATCAATCACATACCTTCGAAAAATTAATAATTTTATTTTTCGTTCACATTTTTTCACACACACTCTCTCTTTCTCAACAAGCACTAATATTCCATCACGTTCTTTGCCAACATCATCATCATCATCCAACAATATCAAATTCATCAAATCAAGTAATAGTAGGAATTTCTGGTTCAAAATCAACAAATAATATAAATAGGATGAGTGAAAATAAAACAACACTCATGCGTACAGTATTAAATGAAAAACAATTACTAACATTACGTACATGTTATGATGTAAATCCTCGACCAGATGCTATTATGAGAGAACAACTTGCTGAAATGACACGATTATCATCACGTGTTATACATACTTGGTTTCAAAATAAGCGTAAAAAATTTTTTTTTCGAAATACAAAAAAATTGTTATTTTTTTATTTTAATAATAGAATGTAAAGATAAAAAGAAAAGTGCATTAGCAAAACAAATTCAAGAAGAACAAAAAGTTCTTACAAGTCTTAATCATAGTATACCATTAGGTGCATCATCACATATACCAGATGATATGAATATTGGCTTACCACCGCCATCACATATACCAGATGATATGAATAGTATGAGTAAAAATAAAACAACACTTATGCGTACAGTATTAAATGAAAAACAATTACTAATGTTACGTACATGTTATGGTGTAAATCCTCGACCAGATGCTCTTTTGAAAGAACAACTTGCTGAAATGACACAATTATCATCACGTGTTATACATGTTTGGTTTCAAAATAAGCGTAAAAAATTTTTTTTTCGAAATACAAAAAAAAATATTGTTATTTTTTTTATTTTAATAATAGAATGTAAAGATAAAAAGAAAAATGCATTAGCAAAACAAATTCAAGAAGAACAAAAAGTTCTTACAAGTCTTAATCATAGTATACCATTAGGTGCATCATCACATATACCAAATGATATGAATATTGACTTACCATCACCATCACTTGATGAAGTACAATATCATTCAGATGATCCACGGAAAACGGATAATGAAACATATCCATCATTTTCAAATGATTATCATCATTCACAACAACAACAGCAAACTTTTCATGATAATGTTTTAAATGGTCTTGCTTTAGAAGATGATAGCAATTGTTTTGATACATCAGAATTTAATGAAGAACATAGTGACACTATTTGTGATGGAAGTGCAATCGATCAATTAACTCTCTGATAATTTCATTCGATATTTTTTTTCTTTTGCTTGTAATCAAAAACAAAAATTCAATTCCTATCTTTTGTTATTTTATTGAGCATCTGGTGGGTGTGGGTATGAGTAATAGATGATCATGCACACCCACACCCTCAAGATGGAAAACTAGTCACACAGAGCTTTACTTTTTTTGAAAATAAAAATTATACAATTAAAATAAGGCTTACTATGGAGATTGTAGAGCTTTTCACGCTGCATCTTATGGTATATCTAGTTTTTAGAAAAAAACACATTTAGAGATTAAAATAAGAAATCCAGAGTGAGACCCACCGGTGGGTCTCATCGCATAGAAAGGGTTAAAGGTGAGGGTATGAAATGAATACAGTATCCGTACACATAAGCACTGACGCCCGCACTCTCAAAATTAATTATTTCAAACAATAAAAATAAAATAATTAACTTTACTGGTATGACAAATAAATTTATTAAAGATATACGATCTATACGCAAAACAACTGAAAAGAATAATTTAATTACAAGAGATGTGGGTGTGGATATGAGTAAAAAAAGTTTACATTCGCAGACGCAGACACACCCACATCCTTAAGATTGTTCAATAACTAGAAATGTGTTTCTAAGATAATTGTATCTTCGAGTTTTCCATTTTTTCGAAGAATTCTTTCTTTTATCTTTGATTTTCGTAGACATTTTCCAATCAATGATGAAGTCCAAAATTCTAACAAATATACAGGAGATAAATAGATATAAAGGTAGAATGTCAATATAAATGGTATAGTTGCAAGTATACTGAAAGTAAGATATAAATATGCTACGAGATAGGTATCGCCTGTCGAACAGGTCATCATGAATTCCAATATAAAACTTGGTAATAATCCAAAAACTTGAATTAAGTATGGAATAAAAAAATCTTTATGTCTTTTTAAAATTAAAACCATATGATTGGACAAAGAATTGTTGTCAACAAATCTACATCGATGTTTTAATTGATGGACTAGCACTGTAACGTTCATTAAAATATAAACGAGTAAAAAAGCACCCAAATGACTGTATGAAATTGCCATAAAAATAATGTAGCCAAGTGGAGTATAGTTGACACATTCAAAGCTCGGTAATTTTCCAGTCTGATTTGGACGCACAGTAAAAGCACCAGGTAGTGTGCTCAACGGACATGCGACTATAATAACTATCGTAGTAATTAATGAACGTCGTCTTCTATCATGTAGTTCATAGTGAAAGCATTCAATCAGCATGCGTTCAATAGCGATACTAGCAGTGAACCAGTTGTACATATAAATTAGGGATATATTCATATATTTCCCATAAACGACACAAGATATCTTAGCCAATTCATAGAGCTGTAGTGAGCTTGCTATATATATGTTCAATGGAACGAATATAATATGCTCTATACCAAAAACTACAGAAACTGCCGACAGCATTATTAGGTATATACCTAAATTAGTTTCGCGTATTTTTTGACTACATAAATATGTTTGTAGACAGACTACACCATTTATAAGTAGTAAACTTGATAGGATAATATCTATGATAGATAGAACTGAAGTACCATTTGATATTTGTATAAATTTCATGGACATAATCCAAAGATTCTTAGAATATTTTTCTTGTTCACAGAAGTCTCCGGTAAAACATGGTAGACAAAAACAACTGCTAAATTTGTTTCGCTCATCATAGACACAGTAGCTATGATTTGTTATACAGGTATCGTTGTCAGGTTTACACAATGTTAAATTATAATCAGTCAAACAAGCAATAATATTTGTTGTGCATTACATGTTACTCATTATGGGTGGTAATCAATGAAAATAGTTTTGCTTTCTTCCAATTTAATAATCTATTAATGATGTTTCATCTCTTCACCTGTACATCATATTTATTCAACACGAGTAAAAATTTTTATTTTTTCTCTCGTCGTATACCTATGATTTTATAATGATATGTATGTAGATAGGTTTTTTCCTTTCATGATTCATTATAAATAAACAAGTAATTTAATATTCATTTTGCCATTTTCTTTCATATGTAAAATGATGGGTTTTCGTCGCGCATGCTCTCATGCAAGAATACGAGCGTAATATACTAATATTTGCGTGTTAATAGGCAAAAATTATTCGATCGAGCTCAAGTGTATTTTTCTTTAATTATATAATAATTAGCATATTTAGTATTCGTTCAATGAGTAATCAAAATAACAAGACGATTGATTCTCTTTATTTTATTGCAACGAAATAAATCAGTTATTCAGAGCTATTAGATCGACATAGTAGCTCAATATTCACTTAATACGATTAATTCATAAAACTTTATGAGATTGAAACCATTTTTGTAACTTATACTCCAGAATGTAATCAATACAAGAAGGTGTCAGAAGATTTTGAAGACTTTGACGCGTTTCAATATGATTATTATCATTTAAGTTGGTAAAAAGATTTCGAATCATTGTCGAACTTCTCGTTTCACCCTTCCAAGGTGAAATCCAAATTAATCTTTCTCGATTTTTTGTTGTTGCTGTTTGAATATACTCTTTCCATAAAATTTCTCCATCATATCCCAATCGATCGACTATCACCAGTGGATATTGTGTAGAAACTTTGTCTCCATTATACTGGATGGCATCTATTCCACAAATATGGACAACTGTAATCTCAAAATCTGTTCCATATGAACTTTGAATTGCTTTAATAATATTTTTTGCGTGTGTGTTCACTAATGAGTAATTGCGATCTACCATCCATCGTGTACCTTCAGTAGATAACATAAGTAGCGCTTCTCTATACGCATTAGGTAAATAATTTTCTGGTAGTTTCTTTTCTATCCAATTTTGACTTGATGGACAAAAATAACCACCTATAATTTCAAATTCGTAGGGTGATTTTTCAAGTGTCTCTGCAACGAAATCCATTACTGCAAGATGATTTAAATGAATAGGACAAAAACCACCACCATAAAGAAGAACAACGTTCTTTTTTTGTATGGTACTATTCGTTGATGATGGTAATTTGATTTTATCAACCGGTGTTTTAACTCCACAAGGAAATCGAAATAAAGGTAATGTCCATGCGCCACAATGTGTTAACAGTTTAGACAGGGATTGAAAGACTATTGGTCGCCATGTATCAAGACCCGCATCGATAATAGATCTAAGTAATCTAAGTAGATTATAAAGTTCAAAACGTATTTCATATCCTTCAACAGGACCACCAATAGCATCAAAATATGCTGAAATAAATACGTCTGGCATTGTAAAGATATCCACTTCGAATGGACCGTAGAAAGGGGAACCATCAAAAATAACGATACGATCTTGTTTATCTAATGCCCAGTTTTGACTAGACAGATCACCGTGAAGAAGGCAAGGACGAAGTTGAACTTGATTTGATGAAGCAAGAAATGAGGGTATATGTGGAATGAGTCGTTCACAGAGAAGAATCAATTCCATATTCTTTTCATGATCATCAATCAAATGAGGATCAATTTTCATTCTTTGTATGATAGGTTTAAAACGTTGTTCGATAAAAAAATGAGACCAATCGTTTTGCCAAGTATTATCTTGTTCAGTGTGTATGTAAAAATTATTAGTATGAAATCCGTATTGACCACTGTGTAAAGAACGTGAATGAGTTTCGGCTGAAATCTGATGCATTTTTGCTAATACTTGAGCGAATTGACAGTCTTTTAGATTTGAGTCTTTTGTCCTGATCTTCTTCATTTTTACAAATTCTGCAAGAAACCAACCTCCTTGATTATCATCGAATTGAGAAAGATATCCAGATGCAAACGATAGAGGAATACGAACTGAATCTCCATAGGCTTCTTGAAGTGCATGCAAACCAATGGCTTCGGCATCAAACATCTGTTTAGCATGTTTGTTTTTATTGACTTTAATAAAATATTCATTACGAGAATTTTTATCGATGAATTTGTTATTCACTTTGAAGGTAAACGCATGACTCACGTAACCATTTGATATAGATTTAATAACAAACTCATCCTCATTGTCATGCTGATGAGTAACGTTTGATGAAGAAAATATTTGAGTTCGAAGTGAAGAAGATGTTTTCAGCAAATGAGATAGATCTTGTACACTTTGAAATAGACATTAATTAGTTATAGATAGAAAAATCTAATAAAGTATTGAATATGATTCAATATACTACAAAATTATCTCTCACAATATAAGTATACCTGAATGGCCCAGTATTTTTTGTCAATTTCTTTGACGATGATAATACGTCATTGTTCGTAGAATCTATTAAAACAATTTTCAGAAATAAAATTAAGACGCATTAAGTTTGATGAAATTTTCAATTCTTTAGATATCGTCAACCCGTCATATCGATTACTTTGAGTATCTAATTCTCAAGAAAATTCATACCATGTTGAAGATCGATTTGCATAGCACAAAGCTGCGATGATGATTCTTCGGGATGATTTCCTATATCAGTATCCATAATTTATAAAATATCTAAATCAATGATAGTTGAAAGAGAAAATAAAATATATTAAATTCTTGAAACTCAACGGATATATTTATGTTACTAGTGAAAAAAAATAACAGCGTGCCTCAACTTTTATCTTATGATTTACGCTCTCCATTCTGTTTTGTTACTAACCAAAGTCACCTTTTTTTCGTTTCTTTCATAACTTAGTTAAAAAATTATGTCATTGGTGCTTACAATTTATTTGAGCAATTACATGACGTCATTATTTACAGAATGAGAAAAAACAATATGACGACAAACGTTACATGCTGCGTCGTCGAGAAATAAAACACATCCACATATTATTGTAAAAATATTTCATAGAAAGAAAATACAATGTACAATAAATAAAGATTAAAACATATTTTTTTATGGAGTTGAGTTTATTAAGGTCTTGGTTCAGGCATGACTCGATTATGATGAATTATTTTTAAAATAATGCTTTTTAATTGTGATGTAAAAATAATCAGTGACACACTCGATCCTATCATTGTTAAACTAATGAAAGGCCAAATAAGACGAAAAGCAAGAGCAGGTTCTTCACCAGTAATCTGTGACATTATTAATAAGACTATTGGTGGTATTCCAAGAATAACTAAGAAACCAACAGTAATGAGAATACGTCGGAAAACAACTAAATCTCGTTGTTGACGTTTTTTAACTATTAGTAGTTGATTATTTGGTTGTCGACGAAGAAATATTGTGATACGTAAATAGAGCAACGATAATAATAAAAGTGGAATTCCATAGATACCGAATGCAAGCCATAGTATACCAGCAGTTTGAGTAAATTTTACATAACAATAATAATCTTTTGTTAAATAAGTAATACTATGCCAGAAAAGAATTGGAGATAAAATAATACAACTAAAAATCAATTCAATAAGAGATAGAATTATGTATAACCAGAAATATTGAAGATATTTATATTTTGAATAAACAATTCGAGAAAGACGAAAAAAAGCCTATAAATTCGATCGTAAATATTCATAGTTATATTGAAAAAATGTAATTACCTGATTAATAAACGCCCAATAAAACATATTGAGAAAAACATATGATACAAATCCAATAGGTATACACCATAATGAATTGGAATCTTTCTCATACAGATCACCTAAAAGTGTTTGAATATGAAATGAAACTGCTATGATTGTAAAGAGAAAAACAACTGGATAAATAGTTAAACAGAGATAAATAACTACTCTATCTTTTTGTTTCAGACGATTGTAATAGATGTTATAGATAATAATAAACAAGATTATTAATATGATCAAACATGTAAATATATCAGTAATAAGTGTAATCATATTGAGTATAAATGCAATATTATTTAACATTATTTGTGTAGTTTTTTTTATTTAAATAATTAATTTTTGGTTTATGCCCATTTTATTGTTACACTCGAGAGTGCTCACAATAGAAAAGAAAATTAGAAATATAAAGAACAAGGAAGATGGAATGGGCGAGCAAGAGAGAAAAAAGAAGGAAGTTGAGAACAAGAAAAATTTAACTATATCAAGGGATATTTAAATAATTAATTATACTGCTGCAAGTATATATATAGTATAATGAATATAGCAAAAAAATAATCGTCGTTTTATGAGTATGATAGCAATCTGGATCAATTTCTTAATTGAATTTAAAATCTTGTATAATATTATAAATCTTCTTATCATATTTTTCATTTTCTTTAAATTAGTGGATATAATAACAAACTGTCGAGGAAAGCGTGTTTTTTTAGACAAGAATGATAAGAAAATTGTAGAATATAAATATCTAAAAGTGGGTTTAGTTTCTCTATTATGAGACTATTTAGCAATCGAAATTGGCTGATTTCTATTCTTCTTCAACTTCCGTCTGAATTATATGAAGTTTCAATGGTGAAAATTGAAAAGAATTGTTAAAGTGCAATTTTCTCGAATATCATTAATTCGGTTTTCATGTACAACTACACCCACTGTTAATGGTCTGTCCTCTTATGTTGTTTATTATTATGTGGATTGAAAAAAATAGTAAACAAACAACTTGTATACACATATACACAAACGAATAGAAAAAGAAAGAAAGAACAAAAAAGAAGTTATATATGATCTTGTGTATAGCACAGATCATAACACCCATATTTTCAATTGTTGTTGTCTGTTTATTTGATTTGGCTTATACAAATAGGCAGGAAGAGAAAACTTTTTTAATCTTCTGTTGTCTTTAACGAGGACTTTGGCCAATGAGTAATAGCAACGTTTTGAATAGAAATAATTGGCCGTGATGCTAATGTGAAAACTTCAATTTCTTTTGTTTGAAAGTGATGTGAACCTGTGAATGTATTCTTGCCAAGACCAATTGTATCAGAATAGTTGCGTCCAAGATTACAATAACTATTCATATTTTCGTTACTTCGATCACTAATGCGCAAATCGTACTCATCAGCCTTTCCAAAGGATAGCCCGTACTTGTTAACATAGTATGGAACGATTTTTTTAATCGGAAGAAACTTCGTTGGATGATTTCTATTGGCATTCACTAACAAAAATAGAAACGGAGAAATCCGATCATAGTCCGATGTGTCTTCACAGTCCGATGTATCCTCAGAATCCGATGTGTCCTCAAAGTTCCGTGCGTCAATTCCACCAAAGAGATATCCATCTGTTGATTGTATGACTGTCATAGTTAGACGATTACGATTAGCACAGAGTTTATGAAATGCAGCTGTGTCAAATCCATCTCTCGTAGCTTTATACATTAACTGCCAGTGTTGATGCTTTTTACCGTAAAATTTATTGAGTATTCGTTGATGTTCCACGTTTAATAGACTAGTGTCTTTAAATAAATACAAGCGAGCACTTAATTTGTGCAATTGAAAAAATGCAGCTTCATTAAGTAATTTGTGTTGTAAATGTTCATCAGATGGAATATCATAATTTTGTGCATTTCTCATGTATTCCAAAATCTCAACAAAGAGATCACCATTACGATCAATGAAAATACGACCTCGTTCATCTTTTTCCAGTTCCCAATGACGTGAGAAAAGTGCTGTAAAATAAGAATCTTCCTCGTGACTTGTTAATGTTTGAATTGTAGTCGAAAATTTTTTACCCCCAACATCAAGAAGAACCTTGCCTCCTACACTTGTTGTCGTTGACATTGATTTTATCTAGTAATTCAAACAGAAAGTAATTATTTACTGTATCTTTTGATTATATATTTTCTTTTTTTGAAATCTATCCTGTGAAATTCTAGTTCCGTAAATCATGTAGGTAGAAAACTAACCTTACAGTTTATTGACTTGATGTTCAAATGATAATCGATCTTGAATAGATGATAATTGTAAAGGAACGACTGATCGTTCGTGCTTTATTTAACCGAATGAACAATGACCGACTATCGACTGCCAACAAGTCTAAAGGGTCAAGAAAGAAAGTCTAAACAGACACAAAGAAAGGTGAAGCAATAAGAAAGGACCGGCAAGTACGAGTATGCACGGCGGGCATGTTCAGTCAAGAATATAGAAGAGATAGCAAACATGTGCATCGCGGTTAAAAACTGACCGCTACCGCCGCGGCGGCACCGGTTGCATCGCCATAAACATCTGTGAGAGATAGTGATGGATGCAATCCGTCACAATAATATTTTATTTTGGCAAAGAGAAAATAAATAATCGGTAGTCGTGATAATAATGAGAAAAAGAAGAACAATACAGTGCGTCATCTGTTGAGCATAACGCATTTAGCATCTTGGAAGTGTGAGTATGAGTTTCAAATACATAGTATACCCTTAAAAAATGATAGTTCACTTAATTAATCTTTGATCATTTATTCTCTTAGTAACACATTCATTTTTTCAGTTAGAATATCAAGATGTTGTTGTATTTCATTTTTTAAACAGTTCATTTTCATCATCCGTTCGTCGATGTCTTTCAACGTAGATTTTTTATTCTCTCCAATAAGTTGATTTATCCAACAGTTTGAAGAGAATAGTTTGCAAATAACAAATTTAACAACTGGTTTGAACCATAATCTGTTTAGAAGAAATATCATAGAGAGTAAATCGAGACAAACACATATAAATAAAATTGTATTAAATATAATTTCAGAACTTCGAGCTATTGGTTTTTGTTTATTTTGAATGAAGAATGGTGTTTCACTGAATTCCAATGATAATACTGTACCGGTAAGATCAGACGATGGATCAATCTCTATAAATAATTGATCAATATCAAAATTAAATGTTGGTAACCATAAACCACTATACTTAGTCGCTTCTGAATATGTTAAACCTTCAGTAATATTAATTATTTTTGTCAACTGTAAACCAATAAATAATTGATTATTACGTGCTAACACTCGATTAGTATAATTAAATACTTTAGAAAAATTCAGTTTTTGAACATAATTATTCATTTGAAGTATATCTGGTCCAGTTAAACCGATACGAATAGCTTCAATAGTGTCACTGCCTATTAGTTGTAATAATAATTGTAAACTATGAGTTGATAATTTGACGAAAATGTATAGTGTCAAACCATTCGTATAACATGTAAATGGAACAGAAGAATGTACTCTTCTATATTGAAAATTTAAATGACCACAATGAAATGTTGTATTGATCAATTCAATATTTAATGTAAATTCTTGTGAAATCAATAAATGAAATATTTGTTCAAGTTGACCAGGTGGTGAATTAAGGAATTGTAAATTTGTTTCAAATTTAGCATTTAAATAATCATTTGAATGACAAGTATTTTGATTGAGAAGATATTTACTTTCAATTGGATATTGATAATAAAAGACATAACTATAGTTAATTGCAAAGCCAAGAAGAATAAGAAGTACAATACTAATTAAACCGCTAAACCAACATTGTCCATCTTCAATAAAATCAAAATGTCGTAAACATTTCGTTAAAATTCGTTGTTTCGATACTAATCGTTTCGAAACTCTCATTAGATGTATAATAAACGACAAGATTAATACAATTATCAATACAATAATTGTAAAAAGAAATGGTGATGTTTGAAGACATACTGTACGAAACATATTTCTCATGAGAATGTCCTCGAAAACATCAATTTCCGATGTTTCTGGATATCCAGTGTATTGGGCGACATCAAATAATTGTTCAGTCGTGTTAATAAATTCAAGTGGACAAAATAATTTATCGGTACACTGTGGACATGTGACGCTAGTACTATGATTTGAAGAAAGATTATTCATTGTTGTACCTTTACATTGATGACATGACCAAGTTCCAGATTCGTTTTTATATGTACCAGGTCGACATTGAACAATATTTGGTATAAAGGAAAATAAATTGTATTCATGTCCTAAATTTTCAGATGATAAATATTCAACTGAATAATATCCTGGTTGAGATGATGGAATTATTAGGAGATTTTCTTCTACATTTAGCACGTATAATGCAAATGTAGTTGATGTTAAGAATAGAAAATGTGCTTTGGAAAATCGAGGACAATTTTGCTCATTATTTGGAAATATTGAAAATGGGTTTGTGATATTATTGTTCATATCATAATATTCAAAATATGAATCTGCAGTCACACGATTGTTCTCATTATAATCAATATTTAAGATAATCGCTTTTTCATCGTCATTCAACCATTCAACACCCCATCCATATCCTGTCAATCTGAAACTTTTAAATTTCGTTACAGAACTAACATGAATAAGACGATTCAATGTTTTGTTAGTAATAAACAGATGAACTGTATTTATTGATGGAATACCAACTAAAACATGTTCATTATTTGAATTGACACGAAGAGAAAGCTTTATCATTGGATTAATGAACCGTTGATCTGCTAACCATACATCATAAAATTTAATCATATATTTATCTTCAATAGATAATAGATAAACCTTTATATCAACAATAACTTCAACTTTCTCCTCTTCTTCATCGAGAATTTTTGATGAAGAATAACCAGCAATATAAATGAACTGATTACTAATATCAACTGCTAAAGGTAAAAATATTTTGGAATCTGGCCATGTCATATCTAATGAAAAATTTTGTAAATTAATCAAATCATAATATAAAAGGGATGTATTTGTAAGACCAACAGCAAAACGACCATGAGGATCAACACTGGTAATCATATGTGACATTCGATACTTTTCAAAGAATACGGTCTCCTTCAGTAATATTTCATCAGTATTATTATGACAGTTAACGGTAATTTTGGACATATAAAAAGTAGATTTATTGATTATTCCAGAGAGTACAAAATAGAGTTGAGATTGAGTCTGTTCTCTACCAATAGATACAGAATAGACAGGTTTTAAATCGAAATCTATTTCAAAGATTTTATTTCCGTAAGCTGAACATTGATATTGAATAGAATCTTTACTATGATATTGAGTTGTTGTATGAAAAATTAGTAGATAATCATTTGCTGCTAATTTAATATCATAATAATTGATGGCAGAACTTTCAATTAAGAAAAATGTAAAAATGGCAAGACTCAATAGGATACGAGTTCGCATAATATATGATAAAAAAATTATTCTTATGAAATGATATTGGATTATCACGTATATATATATCCTGTTAGTTGTAATTCACACAACTAATCAGTACAAAATAAGTACATATATTTATCTGACGTTCGAATAAGAAAAAAACATTCCATAGTCGTCACAAAAATACGATATCATCACAAGGTGTTTCTTTTTCTTATTTGAATTAAGATTAAACTTGTAGATGATTAATGGAGAATTGAGGATATATAATATCTGTCAAATACATTTTAATCCGTATGTGGACGTGGTTTCAGCATCATAAGCGGGTAGGTGTGCGTGTGACTGAGAACATCAACATAATGCCACACACCCGCCCTTAAGTAGTGAACGTATTTTATATCTATATAGAAATAGTTGAAAAAAATTTCATGTTTTTTTGCAGCGATAGAGAAAACAATTGATTAATTCAAAGATTTATTTTAGAAGAGAAATTTATGAAGAAAGTTGTGTTTCCATTTGTTCTAAAAATGTATAATATGGTTTGTTTCCCGGATGATCAGATAATGCTTTATTTTCTTCATTACATTGATTTACTTCAAGAATATATTCAATATAATCTTCAATATGTGGATAATAATCCGATCGTACACGTATTTCTAAATCATTTCCTTGTCCTTTTAATTGATTATTATCAGTTGTCCAATTAAATAAACTTGGATTAGTTGTTAATTCAAATGGATTCATTTCAATAACAATACAATCATATTGATTAATTAATCCTATATCAATGACATAATTCGAATATTTCTCAGGATATTGATTTAAAAGTGGATGAATTTTTTCTTGCCAATATTTTTTAATTGTTAGTTTTATTTGTTGAATAATTTCATTATTTTGTAAATGATAATATTTACAAAAAAAATTATATTGTGATATAGCCGTTAGATTTGATTGATAAACAAAACAACGAAATTCCATTGATGGATCTAATAAATTATTCCATCGACGAATAATTATATGATTATTCCAATCGTATATTTTCATATTAGTATCTTTAACTTGTTCACAATCGAGTATTTCTAATAAATCATAATAGACTCTTTCACTTGTTAAAATTAAATTTAATGCTTGAATTTCATCCGTAATTTTCATTGAATGAAATTGTGCATAATAATAAGCAATTATTTGTATATTTGCTTTGCCTTTAATTGTTAAACATTCATCAGGATATTTAATTTGTAATTCATTGAATTTTTCATTATAATATTGACGAATCTTTTGTAAATCTAAAGGTTTTCCATCTTTTGGACTTCGTGCACTTAAACGAATAAAAGTATCATTATTTATTTTTAACTTAAGTTGATTTTGTATTGATTGAATAAGTTTTATATCATTGAAATTCAATGATTTTCTTGACATATAACGTGTTTGATAAAAATTAACAAACGCTTGAGCAATTGCTGGAGAAACTGGAATAAATTCAGTATGAAATGTTTCACTTTGTATAATTTCATACCATGCTTCAACATCAAAATAAACATTTTTCGAACGTTTTAATAATTGTTCATCATAAGTTTCTCCTGAGATATTAAAACTAGATTTCAATTTATTGTTAATATCATCATCATTTTGTTCCATTATTATTTCTTGTAAAAATATATCTGTAATAAAGAAAAAAATTGAGTCATATAAAAAATGATGCAACCTTATTTTTCTTTCTGTTTTATATATATTAAAATGAATCATATGTTTATTTGATCAAGAAAGTCATGTTTTTCTTCTTATCATGAAATAGTGATAGGGTCGTTTTTTTTTCGTATAGAGAAATTGACGTTATCTATAAATTATTGTTCACGAGGCGATATTAATTGAATAAATAATATTTATTGAAATTCTACTTAAGTGTTAAATCTAAATACATAAGTTTATATGACAATAACAACAACAAAAGCAAAAAAGACATGAATATGTTAGAAGTAAAATGCATGATGATTATTGTTCGATATTTAAAGATTCTGGATTTAAGTAATTGCTCGTGGTTGTTCGCCTACTGATATTCTAGTTGCATTTCCTTGATTTTGTTTGATTCCTCTTAATTTTCCGATGATCTTTAATATACATTCTTTGACTTCCATTCGATATGTTTTAGATGTAGAAGCATGAACCAAAAACAGTATATTATAATTCATATATAAAAGTACTGACTGCGTAATAAAACTAGCGAATGCTTCAATTTGTTTTCGTTCAGCACTTTTGTTCAATATTATACTATTTGATATGGTCGTATAAAGAAGCATTATTGGATGTGAAGCCGTACAGAATACAAAAACAATTACTTCTGCTAGTGCAAGTTTCATGAACTGGATATCTCGTCGTTTCATTCGTCTTGTATCATTTGGTTGAACATGAGAATGTAAATGACGTAAAGTTTTTATTAGCAATATGCTAATTGTAACCAAAGTTGAAATTGGTATAATACCAATAAAAAATAAAAAATAATAACTTATTACTTGTCCATAAAGTCCATAAATATTACATCGATTATTTTCAATACTTTTCCAAATAGGTATATGAATGGAGACTATCATCCAGAAAATTAATAGAATTCCAATGGATCTATAAGCAATTTGTGGTCGACAAAGAGCCCGAATAGAAGCACGTGGATTGCATAATGCATAACGATCAGCACACATTAATATGAGTGTGCTGCGAAAACTCATCACACAAACTTGCATAATATAACCACTAATACGACACATTACCAATGAAGAATTGACTAAATCGTAATGATCAAGGGCATATACGAGTGGAGCGATTCCCCAATTAGCAGCTATCAAACCAAATATAGACACTGCCACTAAATAGATAGAGCATGAATTTATTCGATGTTTTTTTTGTGAAAAAACAACTATTGCAGTTAAATTTCCAAAAACACCCAGTGCAAGGGCTGTTGATAATACATAACGAGTAATATATTGTTGAACAAGAATAAGAGTCGTTATTATTGCCATTTATGTGTATAATAGAAAGAAAATGTTTGAACGTTAACCAAATACCTTTTTTGAAACCGAGAAATATATTAAGAATAAGAGAAAAAAACTAGTTTTATACTCGAAGCACACAAAAAAGTAGAGTAATAATTTGTGAAGTCATGTTTATTATACCAATGAGGATGTGCGTGATATTCTGTTTAAAATTATTTTTGCATCAAAAAATTTTACTTTTATTATCAAAGAAAAATAATAAATTACAAAGCGAGCAACGCGTTAGAAAACTCCAGGTCTTCTAATCTGTTGTATCGTACATAAATTATAACAGAGATCTTCTATTATGTTCTTAAAAGAAAGAATATTTTCTTGTTTCTCTCAACTGTATGATTTTTATCAGTCTTTTAACATTTTTTATATTATGTTTAAAGGATTATCGTACTTTTTGACAGTATTACAGTCAAGTAAAGTCAATACTATAATAATAGAAAGTCACATTAAATATAATTAGTTGACACTTAGATATGGGAATATCGTTCATATGCCGCATACATATGTTTATTAATTGAATTCTGTATTCTTCAACGATAGATAAATTTAGACATCAAAAAGAACAGATGAACCATTAGCAGGGGGTCTTCTAATATTTTTTTTGTATCCTTTATTCAAGGGGAATCTTCTAACACGCTGCTGGTTATATTTAATTAATTTTTAAATAGAACACTAGTGAACAACATAAAAGATTTTTTCTACCTTTTGAACATTTCTATGCTATTAATGTTTTAATGATTACGTAGAGTGCGAAAGAACACATCAAAAAGATCCGATCTCATTTTATTTTTCAAGCCAAGAATGTAAGGGTCATATTAAATAGAATTTTAATTAAAAATTAAAACATAAAGATTTTCAGTAAGTTTTTCTTAAATTTCGAAAAACTTCTTAATAATTTGCTGATTTTGCCATGATTCATATTCAAATTTTAATCCTAATAAAGGCAGAATAACTATAAAAAAAAGTATTTATTCGAGCGGAGCTAACAAATTGTTCAATATCTATATAATCAGCATCATAATCGTATTAAACTACGATAGATAATAGTAAATTGAATAAAAAAATAAGCGCCATATATATATATATCCCGATAGTTAAGGCCTACACTTCAAGAAGATTGTCTCAGAGTTGTGGCTAAGGTGTGAGTATTGATATACATACTAAGTATATCGTCCACACCCATACGGATTTAGATTTTCTTTTTACGTCATAAAATGACGGTAAAATGAAAAACAATGTTACCATGGAGATATTTTTCAGAGGAGCAATGAAACCGTGAATAATATTAACAAAGAATAGCAACAAGTGAAAAAAGAATCAAAGGTATCGTTTATTAAGAAAAAAATAATCAAAACGTAATACTATTAAAATTATTTTTTGCTCACTCAATGCTTATCAAGTTTTTAATACAGCTGTAGTATATTCTCATGTATCAACCTATATATCGTTCTTGATAGTCATAAAGCATATAGTATTATATTATTTCAATAGGCAATATAAAAAGGATGAAACTTATTTTACTTGTTCTTACGATTGTGAAATTCGCTTGGAGTTCATCATCTTCGTACAAGATTATTTCTGCTACAGCTTGGATAACCACACCTATTTCGCTTTATCCAGATTTTTCAGCCAGCTTAACATCTATCGATTTCCATCCATCTATTTTTCAATATTCTTTTAATGGTCCAAGCACAGTTTTTACGTGTACTACGCGTAGTTGTAAGCAAGTCAGTATGGTACCAATGCCAGGTTTGAATGTAGCACGACTAGCGTACGGTGGTGTCTCGTCACGTCGCATTCAACAGCTATCTCCTGTCGTTGTTGGTACACAATTCTTTTTATCAACTGGTTATGCTACACCAAATCGTGATACTGAACTAATTGCTTGTGCTGCTGAAGATCCAACTTGTTCAAAGCCCAACGTTATGAATACAGTCAACAGTCCAGGATTTGGACAAGCTGGTCTTCGCCTGACATTCACTCGACCACTTGGACTACCAATTATGTTAATTCCCGAAGCACGCTATGCATCACGGGATAATCGAGTGACAGGTTACACGATCGAAGCTTGTCAAGATCCGCTATGCCATTTTTCCCGTTCACGTTCATCACTACCATTCAATCTTACTGGTAATGCTAACTGTTTGGGCACTAGTATAGACGTAGCACTTAATCGACTCGGTTTCCCATCATGGCTCACTATGTGTGGAACAGAACTCAATTTAATTCATTGTCTGAGTGCAACATGTAATGAGACATTAGTAAATCAATTCAAGGTTAATCACGACTTTGTCTATTTCACTTATTTGGCTGTAGATTCACAATTTCGATTCACAATCGCCACCACTGGACAAACAGCACAGTCGGGTATGAGTTTTCGCTCCTCTTCTTTTTTTACCGTATTGATCTAAAATTTTTCTTTAGATATTACTTATATTCGTTGTCTTGATCCTAATTGTACTCAATCAATTCAATCACAGCTTACGATTGCCAATCGAACTTCACCAACAAGAACTTCTATTGCTCGCGTTCAAGTTGTTATTGATACACTTACCGATTTGCCTGTATTTCATCTGACGGGCTCCATATATCCTTCGAATGTTCCTGTGTACATGTTTGTAGCATGTCAAGATATCGAGTGTGATATGTCTGAAGCTGTTTATTTTGATTACGGTGCTCATTTTGGTTTGAATCGAGTGCAAGTAAGCGATCTGTTTGTGGATGATGAAGGAACAGTTATTGCCAGCATTCGAGCAGTATATACATCAACAAACGATACGATCAACGCTATCGTGAGAATGGCTCAATCGAGTGAAGCAGAAGTTGATAGGTTTACATTTGTGGAACCTATCTTGATTAATTAATTTTACATTTTTATTCTATAATAACTTCAGCTTTTAAAATAATTGGATTTCTACTCGTACAATACTGAAAATCTTTAAGAAAACGATTCACGAATTATGATACAACTAATCTGTAGAAGTAGATTGAAACGTGTCATCCACATCTTAGTATTTCAACTAAATGTTATTTTATTTTGTAAATCAGAATTCGCATATTGAATAATTATAGTTCTCATTGTTACTGTCAGAACCATATTCGAATAACCCATGAGTCATCGTAATCTCTTGTGATCGAACATGTTGATGGCAAACGATCTTTTAACCATGGAATAAGTTCATCATTGTTTTCCATAGCTGGCGATGTTTTAAAATACTTATCATCTTTACATTTCACAATTAATAGATGGAGATTGTACATATTTTCAACAAGATAAATAATATTTTCACGATTTGTAACAGAGATAGAAAGTATTTTACATTGAATGCTCAATGATGAGCTAGTCAATGCAACACAATCGTCTTCATCGAAATAATGATTACAACATCGTGCATAATCCTGTAAACAGAGATTATGAAGTGATGTATATTTACTTTTGAATATTGACATATAAGAGGATGATGGTTGATCTTCATAAATACTAACAGAGTATAGATTGGGAGCTAGATCAAATAAAGCTTGTAATTGATTTTGAAAGATATCAACATAAGAGTATATTTGTAGGAATTTTAGTTGATTCAAACTTGGAATAATGGCCCAGAATTGATCACTGATAGGCAGTTTAATTTTAAGATATTTAATATTGGGTAAGAGAAGATGAGATGACGTTATTTGATCAAAGTATGTTTCGTTATAAATGTTATTTATACTATTACAAAGTTTTTGTTCATTATCGTGTGGATCTGTTGATTTGAATAGATTAGAATCGGACATCGTATATTCATGGTAATTAAACGTATTAGATAATGTATACAAATAAATCTTCCTTCCGTCTGCTGTAAAGCATCGAACGAACCATCGATGTTCATCAATCCAAAATGAACTTCGAAATGAATTAATTAATTCATCGACTTGTTCTTCTATATTTCGATCTTCAGCGAGTGTACCTGTCATTCTGAGTTTAAATATTTGTAGATTTGGTAGATAATTATGAATCATATATTCCCATCGATGACCATCAAACAATATAGACCATATGTTGATGCCCAAACAACGTAAATTAAGAAAGCTTTGGAAGAAAAGATTCATTTGCTGAACTGGATACTCTCTAGTAATTGTAATTTTCAATTGTGTCAGTGTTAGAAATGTTGACGGTATATAATTTTCATTAATATTGTACTCAATACATGCCGAAAAATGCTTAAGACAAGGTGTATGCTCAAACAGTTGATTTAATTGATTCGATTTTATCTTATTTGACGTATCTATAGTTAGATATGTTATAGACGATGAAGCTTTTTGTGGCATATAAAAATGATTTTGTGCACAATTATAGATATTAAAGATACAATGGGTAAGTTTTGGTAGAGCCCAAATCTTGTTAACAATTATTTGAATATTAGTTTGCTCTACTTCAATTGAATAAGAAAATAGCTTCAAAGAGGTTAAGTTACAGAGTTGATGGCATTGATCAATAATTTCCATTAATTTTTCGCTTGAATTAATAGATTCAAATGTAAGCGATCGTACGTTAGTGAATACATTCAATGATGGTATGTATGCAAGAAACAAATCAATCTGTTCTACACTATTTTCACTGTTACTCAGAGCAAGAGCAATAACTCGATCAGTAATAGATGGTAGATGTTGTTGACAAATCATGTCGAAAGTAAGTTTTGATATAGAATTGAAATCGAAAGAATATGATCGATATTGTTTGTAGAGGAGGTTATTAAATCGATAATTAAGACCATAAAATGCATGTAGAAGATCAATACTATGAAAATAACCGAATATATCTAATAAAATTTCATTAGGTAACGATAGTAAATTCGCCATCTTTTTTTTCTACTTATATTTTACTTCTACTGTAAAAGAAAAATAGAAATATATGCCATTGCTTTTTTCTTTCTTTGTTGGACGATGTTTTTTCATCGACTGTAACTAAGGCATGAGTCATTTGTACATGAATTAGTTGTTATGATAGAAACGACAAATAATATTTTCACTCACTTACAACAATGACATCTACATAAAGATGTAAGTCGTCGATACTGATTAAATCGTGTACTTCATTTCACTTCGAGATAATTTTAATTAAAACTAAATATGAATTATTAGTTAATCTTGAGAGTGTGGACGATGGTAGAGAAATGACAAAATAAGTACACTTTTGGTCTTCTTTTTTAAAAAGATAAGATTAAAAATGATAATGAAATTTAGAGTAGAAATATATGGTCATATCTTTTTGTTGGTAAAAATCTTGCAGATATTGTTAAGTTGACGAAGGATACAAGGAAAAAATGTCTAACGAAAGACCAGCATGTGTTGAAGATTTAGCAAATGAACTTTGGTTTGAAACTTTCGGTTATCTTGACTGGATCAATGTATTTTGCTCATTTTATGGTATTAATAAACGAATTAATCAACTTCTTATGTCTGTTAATGTTCTTTCATTGTACTCATCTTATTTAATCAATCATTCCAATTTAATTTATATATTCTTTCAGGAATTTCCCCTCGAAGAATTTAAACAACTTCAACGTTTTCGATGGATCAATGATTATTCGTATGATGATGCATTGGATATTTCGAAACATTTTTCTTCATTTTCGACTCTTATTTCGCTCTCTATTAATACCAACTTTAAAGGTTACAAGCCTGATGATGATGATGATGAAATTGCGATGACTTTTTTCCGTCAACATTATCCTTATCTTCAACGATTGTATCTATATGGAAATGTAGTTGATCGCGACTTATAAATCATGAACAATATATCTTTATTTCATTTTCCATCTCTTCTCTATTTACATGTAGGTCACATTCATTGTATCTGGGCTATTCAACTTTTGGATCAATGTTCTCAACTTCGTTCGTTTTTAGCGAAACTTTATGATCATCCAGAGACGAGCAATATCACATCGTCCTCTTTTTCGTTGTCTACTCGAATCATTTCAGGTCTTACTGCTATGAAAAAACTTAGATTAGAAGAAGACGATAATTTTCGAAAGCAATTTGGCATTGCATTTCTTGAACTTTTATTACCATGTTATTCCAATCTTCATACATTCGCCTGCGAAATTGAAATTTGGAATAATTGTAAAAGAATCGAAGCAGATTGGTGGAAACAAATATTCGCTTCAAACAACAAATTAAAACGAATTTCTCTTAATTTGATATGGTCAACGCGTGACTGCCGACATAATTTCCAGGAAAAGCTTCAACGTTTTCAATCATCATCATTTTTCATCCAATTAAATGTCGATATTAAATATACGATTGGCGGTCAACCCATGCATTATATGACATATTTCCTCGATATCAAAAATTGAATGTTTAAACGAGTAGAATTCCATTCATAAATATATAGTGATATTTGTATCGTTATTCATATGCATATACACCCTCGTACTCTCCGTAAGTTTTATGCTTTGATTAAAAATATGTTTGCGTCATGTTCGTCGAATCAATATAGTAAATGCATATTCTAATTCATAAAGAAGAGGAATAGAAAAAAAAATATGAGTAATACTTTTTAATTTTATACATCACTTGGAAAAAATCGATCATATTATATAAATAGAATAAAATGATACACACTTATTCGTCAATAGATGTAGAACAGATTAATTTTATTTCAAAACTCACTTATATCAAATAAATTATTTTTTATACAAATATTCAATCGTGTATTAAATTTATCAATTTAATTAAAAGTGAAAAGATTCTTCTACGTTATATTTCTTTATGTAAAAGTACAAGAATGTGGGTGAAATGAATATTAGCAGAAGCCCCCGTAGCTCAGTTGGTTAGAGCGCCGTACTTATATACAGTATCGGAGCAATGCGGATGTCGTGAGTTCGAACCTCACCGGGGGCATCGATATTCTTTTTAAATGATGAACGATATTTCTTTTGTTTTCTGACATAATTAATATTGACAGTATGAATTATTTTTTAAAATCGTATCAGTTACCAATACGTATTAATAAGTATTGACGACATAATTATAGAACAAAAAGCTGTAAACTTGCTCGCCCATATCTACCATGCGCCACAGAACATTTTCTTGAGCATGGTGGTGATGATGATCATATATCTAGTGATTCATCTTTCTTCTATCGATAGTATTTTCCGTAATCTATTTTTTTTATCACTTAGGAGTTTTACTATTTATTGCAGGAGACTGAAAAATGAATGATGATTTCAATTACTCGAATATTTGACTTTTCTATATTCGATAAATACAATAGGCTTCTGCTCTTTTTTGTACTTGTATTGAAACCTAATATGGAATGAAAAAGACAATTTAACTCTAATACTTCCATTACAGGCTTTTTAATACCCAATAAAAAATTTTTCTCCGAGTTATACTATTTGTTCTTCACTTAACCTTTATTACTCTCTTTTATTAGTTGGCTTATATACATATACTTTTCGATAACTTATCTACTCAGTAGAATGTTGTGGTTTTTTATCTGACTTTATACAACCTTCGACAATGATTTTATAGAAATGTCTACTTCTTTTAGTAATCTTCCAAGAACAATGAGATGATCGATGAAATATATCGTGTTCGTTTTTCGTTAAAGATTGTTGCTAAGAAATACGCTCATAAAAACAGAATCATTTTTACCAACAAATAAAAGGAACCAGATAATATAAAACACATTGTCATTCTGTTAAAATACTATTCATTGGACAGTTAGAGATTTTACATACAACTTATTATTAATAACAGAAATCAACCCGAGATGTAAGTAATTTTAGCCTTATGTTTGGATCGACTTTCTGACTTTAGTTTATCATATTATTATGTGTTTATTCTTCGTTTCATCCGTTTTATACACGAGATTTTGTACATAAGTAGGCTGGAATACTTCTAAAAGAATTTACTCAATGAAATATTACATGTCGAATATGAATGTGATAACACAGAAGTTTTGAAATGGTTTCTCTAATCAGCATTTTAACGTGAAAATTACATTTGGTTAAAAATCCCCCTACTTAGAGTAAAAGATATCGAACTCTTGTGATTTATTTATAGATCTCAGATTAAGATATTCATAGTATACTGTATCTAGATTTAAAAAATTATTTTATACTTTCTTTCATGCCAACATTGAAACAATTTATACTCATAGGTCTACAGTAGTACCAGGAAGAACCATCAATCAACAACCACGAGCGATAGACAATTGCTTTGGGCTTGCTCCAAAAGAACGCCTTATTGCTACTTATACAAAACAACCAGGTGGCTGTGGATGTGGACCAACGTTTACAACACATTTAACTGATAGTCGAATAATTCAGCGTCAACAAGAATATGCATGTTGTGGCGAAGGAAATCGTGTCGATAAAATGTTGTTTCTTTCAGATATCAGCTTCATAAGTGACACCGTAGTGAAACAAGACTGCTATAGCAGTATATGCTGTCGTTGTTTGTGTTGCTTTTTATCGTGTTGTAGAGGTACAGGAGGAAAACAAGTCGGCATACGTGGTGCATTTGGTGAAGAAATTTTCACATTTACTTTTAATGATGCAGCTAGAGCTCTTCAGGAAATTCCTGCAGCAGCCATGCCTCATAAAGGAGCAGGTCATCTACTTAAAACAGCGGCTGAAACGAACACTCTTTTCTAAATACTAGACATGCTATGATTTTCAAGTTACTTATGCAAAAAAAAAGAAGAAAAAGATTCAAATCATAATGCCACTGTTCTCTATCACTTCTTGCCTGCTTTCGTCTTTTTTTAGGGTTTTTACTTCGCTATTTTTTATTTATGCTCGTTGTATCTAAGTAATTATATAAATCTAAATTTAAATAAACATGAAAAAATTAATAGGAATAAATTGCATTGCAAGTTCTATCAGCAGACTTAAGATTTGATTGAAAATGTAAAAGTGAAATACTTTAACAATAATGAAAATCTTATAGCTCACTACACTTTCAACAATTCCGACCCTTCATCGAATAAAAAAATTTTTCTACCTTCTATGAACACTTTGCATAGCTTTCAAATCAAGAAAAATAATTGTCTGAAAATTTGCGAGTTATCATTTTTATTCTCTCTACTTACTTATGCCTACATCAAACAAATTTTTACAAAAAGAATTTTCTCTAATATAATTGTATGCAATAAAGAATAGATTAGAAGTCCTGATCGGATTTGCATAATATAATTTGTTTTTATCAAACACGTGTTTATAAATTTATCTTTAGTAAGAAGAGATGCAGCAAATTATGCTCTATAAAATGGTTTCTAATTGATCTCTCGATGTCTCATACGATAATAGAAGTATACGCTTAGAAATATGCATCAGAAAAAATAAAAATTAATTGAAATTCTTTTTGGAAATTATAAAAACATCTATATTTATAGATGTTTAAATTTAATGTAGTAATATAAATACAAAAAATATCAATAATCAACTATAAGAAGATAATCGATTAAAACAATAAAAAAATTATATCTATTAGATCTACTAAAAATAAAATATTTGAGATTTTATTAATATCAAAAACAAATGTTCTATTTATGTAATACAATACTGCTCATATATATATAGAATTTGCATCATTTTAGAATTTATACACGACCAAGCTATGGAGAAAAGTATCTGGAATAGAGTAATATTCATCTTGCTTAGATTTTTTACATTAAAAAATGATTCGAACTGCATACTTATCAGAAATCAAGTGATAAACAAATGTAAAATTCAGATATTGATATAATAATTATAATATATAATATAAAAAAAAATAAACTAAATTATTTACTAACATAATTCATAAGCAAAATTTTATTATTTCATTATTAAGAATTTTAACTTATTATGTATCGTATAAAATTCTATATATCTTATCATAAGATGAATTTTACGATGTATATGACCTTACTGTGTATTAATTTAATTTCATCTTCCCTCAGCCCCCGTAGCTCAGTTGGTTAGAGCGCCGTACTTATATACAGTATCGGAGCAATGCGGATGTCGTGAGTTCGAACCTCACCGGGGGCATCCATATTTTTTTTTCTTTATTCATCGTTCTGTTACTTTCAGTTCTCTTTTCTTTTTTCTTTCTTGTTATTGCACAACTCGATGTAATATTTCACATTTAAGTCTATATAAAATCGATATTTAAATGAAATTTTTTATTTTAGTATCAAAAGCATCTACATCGAATCGATAGTCTACAGAACGATTTATTCGATTGAAGAATATAGCTATACAAGTTAATATTCATTCATTTGTTTTCTGAAATTTATATTAAACGATTTACTATAAAAATATCGAAAGTAAAAATATCGAAAAAAAGACGTGATAGATGGCGCCATTTTTTCGATATTTTTACAGTAAATCGTATTAAACAAATCTTTATTAATAGTAAAGAGTTAGTATTTCTTATCGAAATATTTTATTAAAAAAATAAGCTGCCATTTATAGTTTTGAAGTTATACTGGATAATGGTGGCAAAGTTCAATAATTTTCAAAAAATAGTTTATTTTATAAATTAAATAGAAAAATAAATATTTTATATGAATAAAGTTTTGCTTTTGATAAAAATATAAGATGTAATTATAAAATCAATTATTCTTTATAGTATAAAAATATTCTATGTTGAATTTTGTTTTATATGTTATTTTGCTTTTCGAAACGATATCAAGCAATAGAAACTAAGCACATAGTGTTGTTTTTTTTTATTTTGAAAATAAAAAAGTACATAGTTAAATTGTACTTCGTATGTTGAAGGTGGATGCGAACTTTTTTATTATTATACCATACCTGTACCCTTCAGACATCACATCAATTTTATTAGTAAAATTTTGTCATTTGAAAAAAATTCTTCAATGATAATGAAATGAAATTTAAAGATTTAAATTATATAAAAAATCAGTTGGGAAAAAATAAATAATCTATTAAATACTTCTATTCAACAAGATTCAAAATAATTTATTAATGAAATTTCAATTATTATTTGAAAAAGGGTAGATGTGAAATGTAGCTCAACATTTACATCTATTCACCTTCTTTTCTGTTTTATTCAAAGAAAAACAATTTTTATTTTTACCATGAAAGCATTTTATTTTCGTCATTTTGTGGAAACGAAATGTCATCAGTGTAGCTACTGAAAATACAGAAGGACAGAAATTAAATCAACACAATTATCCTTTTGGAATCTTTATTGATGAAAAGAAAAATATTTTCATTGCTGATTTTAGTAACTATCGTATTGTTGAATAAAAATGTGATACAAAGTAAAGACAAATCATTGCAAGTGGAAACAGGCGGATTATTTGATAGTTTAATGAAAAGCAACAAGTTCTCATTGAAAATATTGCTTGTTGTGGTTTAAAGGAAGAAACCTCAATCAATTGTCTATACTTCAAGAAATAATTGTCGGTCATTTCGGTCAAATCTATGTGACAGATCATGTGAATGATTGAATAATACGTCGATGTGGAGGAAAAGAAGAAGGTGAGATTGTCGTTGTTAGAAATAACTTGAATGGTCCTTGTGACTTATCTTTCGATGACGAAGAAAATCTATATGTTGTTGATTGTTGGAATCATTCAATTGAAAAATTTGAAATAATTCTATGAACGAAATATTGATTCAAATATACTCAACAAATAAATATTAAAATATTAATTTCTTCATCTTTTCTTGATTTTTGCAAAAGCTTAAAAAAGAAAATATTTTGAACGAATACGGTGTGAGTGTTTCTCTTTTATTCGTAATTCTTATCCACACTGACACTATTAACGATTTCGACACCCGATTATTATCGTCACTCATAACAAATGCTTGTATCTATTCTTGTTAGAGTTTTGCTTTTAATTTATACTACAATAAGAATATCGTGGAAAAATGCTCTTCGAAGTTTCATGGTAAGTATTCATATATTTTCGTAAGGGTATACACGATAGCAAAGATGATGTTAATATCTTTAGCTACATCCACACTCTATATCTATGGTATGAATTGAAAGGATATTCTTCGGATAGATAAAATTGATTTAAATATCATACTACTAATTATTGTTGAGCGAGTATTGTTTTTTTTATTTATATTTATGATTCGTAAATTATAAAGATAAATTTTTTTTTTATTTGAGAGGAAAATGCTTTGCATCTGACTAAAAGCATACTGAAGAGGAAAATAGATAGTTTTCTATAAGATATAACGCTTTTCTTTTTATTGATGTTCTCTTTTCTTCTCTTGTAGAAAATGAGTTTGTCTAAAATTTTTCAAATTATTATTTGTACTGAAAACTCTACTGAAAGAAGTCACTTGTTTTTTTTAAAATTCCGACTATCTTTTTGTTGAACTAAGGTTTGATGTTTTATTTAATGTTATAATGATGTTGAATTGTGTATTTCTTTATTTCTTATAATTTATCCAAAAACGTTTTTAGAAAAGCGCAGTCTATTCCATTATTTTACATTATTTGAAGCTAAAAATATTTATATTAATATTAATCAGATCGTCAAGTTTACATCGATTTTTATCAAAAATAAATGTATATTGTTTATTTTCTTGAATATGATAAACAAAGTATGTGAAAATGATGTACTTTTACTTCGACATAGTTCATTCAAAAATACTTTTTTACCTTAATGCATATACTAAAGTTGTTTATAATGCATTAAGTTTATTTTGTTTTAACAATTAAAAACTTATAAACATAGATTTTAAAAACTCTTCTCATAATATCTCACTAAATATAGACAAGAGCACTATTCTAAATTACTTTTGTGTCTATTATGTATATAAAACATTATCTTTTCTTTTCTCTCAGCGCATCTTCCAAGAAACAATTTTTCGATGAAAGACAAATGATATATGGTAGTAAATAGTTTTTATTATTTCTCCTTTCCATAAACTCTAATTAGATAGTTAAACTATTGAGTAACATGATCTTTGTATTATACTATTCTATTTCTTTTTAAATGTATATGTATCACGGATAAATTTCTTTTGTTAGTCTTACTGTTGTGATAAGAAGATTTGTCTAGAATAAAGAATGATAAATAGTGTTGAATGATTTTTTTCTTAAATTATTTATAGAAAATATACTACTGAAATAATGTTTGTATTAATGACAGTTTGATTTTAGGTCTCATTATTGGTATTTGTAATGGAGATGTTTTCAGAGAGTATAAGGCGAATAATACATGTAATTTTTTTCTAACTTTTCCTATCTCTGCACCATTATTAAACAATTTTAGTTTTTTTTTCTTTATAAAAACTCAGAAAGAACTTTTAGATTTTTGGATTCATAGAACTATTAGTCAGATTTTATTTTAAATGTACTTTTAGCTAATACTTTAAGAACTTTATTTTTAGAAAGCATATAACTAATATGCACTTTTATATTTCTTTACCATTTTCATTAATTCTTGTAGCATATATTTTTATTATTTCTAATAGTGCAATGATTTTGTTCAATAATAAGTATTAAGAAATTTTTCAAAATATCTCGTGAATATAGATGTGTGATTTAATATATATGAATTCATTAAGATTTTCTTTATCAATTATTCAATATGATAGAGTTTATGACGTTAGTAAGTAATTACTACTGTATATAGATATATTAGTCATATACATTAATAATATTTATTTAGATATGTAAATACTAAGTATTTCAGTTAAACGATAATTCATTTCTTCATATATGTTTATAAAATATTAGAAATACCATACATAGGATATCAATGTGAATGACTATTATTTTTATTGAAGTGAAATTGATATTTACAATACGTTTGATTCTTATCTTTAACAACCTCAAGGAATTTCGTTAAATAATATATTATTTTTGTTACTTAAGAAATGATAGATAGACACGCCATTGCCACAGAAATTCTTCTAGCTACTTAAGAAAGATAATAAAAAGAACTAAATTAAAAACATTATCTATTTATCCAGCTCAATTCTATGAAGATATATAAATATTTCTAATCTATGAATTTTTCTAGAACATTATTTAATTAAACATGAATGACATAGAAGAAATATATCTTCCATCTCGTAATCAACATCAGACTGTATCAAAAGTATCTAAACATGATTGGGTCCCTGTAACACATAATGGATTGTAAGTATTATATTTCTCTCACTAACAAATGATTTCAAAGAGAAATTCACTGACTATTTTTTTTTAAAGAAGTACACGCTTCAAAGTTTTGATTAGCATCTGTGCAGTTATTGGTATAGTTGTGTTTCTGGTTGCACTAATTGTACCCACACTTGCCAATAACAAATCAACATCCTCTACTAGTACTACTAATAGTGTTATGAACACAACCACTCAAACTACATCAATTTCTATAACATCAACTTTAACAACAACAATCTCAATCTCTACAACATTGGCATCCACAGCCTCAACCTCAACTTCAGGATCAACATCAGCTTCAACTTCAACAATAATAACAACCTTCACTTCGTTAACAACATTAACTTCGACAACAGCAGCATCAACTTCAATAACAACCTCAGCTTGGACATCAACAACTTTAACTTCAATGTCAACAGCCTCAACTTCATCAATAACGTCATTCATAACCTCAACTCTATCAGCAGCGATATCCACAATTTCAACAACAACAACATCGACCTCAACGCCAACAACAACAATCTCAACTTTATCAACAACAACATTCACAACCTCAACAATCTCAACTTTATCAACAACAACATTCACAACCTCAACACCAACATCATTAACTTCATCGACAACAACAACAACCTCTACTTCGACGACGACGACAACAACAACAACTACAACCTCTACTTCGACAACAACAACATCAACAACATCAACTTCAGCATCAACAACGACATCCACAACCTCAACTTCAACGTCTACCACATCAACAGAAACCTCGACCACATCAACGTCTACAACATCCACAACCTCAACCTCAACAACAACCAGTGAGTTACCAAAATAGTTTAATAATGATATAGACCGTCTTGAGGGTGTGAGTGTGAGTAATATGTCAACCTGTCATCTATACACTCAACTTCATCCATACATATCATCATCTCGCCTCTTCAGTGTGAGGATATAGGTGTACGGTATGGTTGAAAGGTCGACATATTACTCACACGCTCTTCAAAGTGTTTAATAAATATATATGTATGATTTTAGCAACAGCAAGTTGTGCTCCTGGCTTCTCTGCAACACAATCCGCAAAATGTGTCGATATACTGAGTAATCTTTATAATTGTGGATCCATTGGCTATGTTTGTTCATCAGACTATACAATATGTTCAGCTGGTATATGTAAGACAACACCTACTATACAACTTAGTGGGGCAACTCCTATACCTGCCTGGGTTGGTGTGACTACCGATGATGATATACAGCAAGTTAGCCTTCCAGTTAATGTTACACTCTATAACTATAGTACTAGTTCTGTTACTGTATCAAGTAATGGAGTAAGTTATTTTTTGAACATAGTTTTGTCGTAAATAAAATGTGTTTTAGCTTCTTTGCCTTGGTAGTTGTACTGATGCTTATGCAAATCAAAAGCTTCCAACTACAAGCGTTGGAGGTCCAACAGCATTTATTTTCTGGTATGATTTGGCGATTTATAGTGGTACTACTACTCAAATGGTTTATTATGCAACCAGTGGAACAGCACCTAATCGAATAACAGGTTTTGAATTCTATACAACTAGTTCTACTTACCCATCAAATTATTATCATTTTCAAATATTATTTTATGAAAATTTACCGAATATTGTTAAATATGTTTATTTCGAAATATCCGATGGAGGTAGTTTAGCAACTATTGGTGTTCAACGTAAGCTATTTTTTCTAGTTTCTTTCGTTCTAATGAAGACCTGAACTATAGTAAAACTTAAGCTAAAAGAAATGTTGTAGTGTATAGGATAATACTCTGTATTTCCTTTTCTTCCCACATATTGTGACTAATATAACATCAAAAACTGTCACCAATGCTGAATAGAGATCGTTATAGACGTAAGCTATAAATGACTTCTCCTCAATAATACAATATTCCAAAATATATTCTTAGATTTTGAGACTTCTCTAGGATTATTTAGTGTTCACTGTGGATTTGTCTAGAGTTTTAGCTGTTCGTTTAATAGAAAATAATTTAATAGGTTGAACATATCATATTCTTCGGGAGATATTCTAGAATAAGAAGGAATTTTATTATAAGGAGAATTTATTACAGATCGTGGGAAAATGTTATTAATTCTCATTAACTAATATTGTAGCAACTACTTCGTGTTTTACGTTTAAATCCCACAGGGAGTGTGCTAACGGGTTTTTTTATTTCATCATAGAATCATCATCAGGACCAAACATAACTTATTCAGTAAATCAAGCATTTGCAGTGGCTTATAATACAACACTTTTATTCGATACAAATGCGGGTACCTATACTCGCATATGATGATACATGTTTATACAAGTGAATCAAGACGTGGATCTTTAAGAATTTATGTTGTTTTGAATTTGTTCGTGTGCTTCATTGTTTATGTTTTATTTATTTGTGTCTGTACTTGTGCATCTCTAGTTTCTTGTATTTCTACTTTTAATTTGTTCATGTGTCATTCGCGTGATGATGTGTTCAGAATACAACACAAAAGTTCAAATGTTGCTTTTAATTCTATTCCAAATATAATAAAATGTTATTCACAACAGTTATCTCTTTATTTTTTGTCTTATTTATAATGAAATTTACTAATGATCATTATGTGCATACATCTAATATTCTCTTGAAAGTTTTTTGACAAATCGACAGAAGAATGGTGTACCACACTGTTGAAATGCAAGAACATTGTATAATTTGCTTATTTGATTAGTTATTGTTAACGAGTGGCATTATAGTTGACCATAAGAAAGCAATTTAAGAAGCACATATCTATCTAGATACAATACTCTAAACGAGCAAGGGTGTGGATGTGAGTATTATATTCTTCTCGAATGCACACCCATACCCACCCTCTATGAGACATGCATTAGTTAAATAAACTCGATGGCAATTGCACTGAAATTTTAAATAAAATTGTTTTAATTTAATTTGATTGATATTCTTGCATTGACGTGATGTTCTATCTATTTTATCTACATCTAATCGAAGATTTAGGTAGTTCAATTTTAGAGTATAATCTATTATAGAGAATAAATTACTCGAGTGTTGTAAATTCAAGACTTTCTGTCGATGAACGACATTCTGAAGACGTAACAATGGATTTTAAATTTGAAAATAAACTAATCGATAGCTATACCACTACTAGTAATATTTAAACATTAAATTCTTGATACAGGAATCAGTCGGATATGAAGCCCGAAATCTTCATTTTCTCTTATTGGAATTTCAAAATAATCAATATAAAACTAATGTTTAAATAATAATAAGTATAAATAATATCGTTGAAAGATAAATAAACATAGATTTTACAAAATAATCTCTGTCGGAAGTTTATCAAACCATGTAAACAATTTCGGTACCTGATTATTATCGTCACTCATAGCAAATGCTTGTCTCTATTCTTGTTAGAGTTTTGCTTTTAACTTATACTACAATAAGAATATCGTGGAAAAATGCTCTTCGAAGTTTCATGGTAAGTATTCATATATTTTCGTAAGGGTATACACGATAGCAAAGATGATGTTAATATCTTTAGCTACATCCACACTCTATATCTATGGTATGAATTGAAAAGGATATTCTTCTGATAGATAAAATTGATTTAATTATCATAGTATCAATTATTGTTGAGCGAGTATTGTTTTTTTTATTTATATTTATGATTCGTAAACTATAAAGATAAATTTTTTTTTATTTGAGAGGAAAATCTTTTACATCTGACTAAAAGCATATTGAAGAGGGAAATAGATAGTTTCTCAGGAATCAATTTATTTTTCTATAAGATATAACGTTTATCTTTTTATTGATGTTCTCTTTTCTTCTCTTGTAGAAAGTGAGTTTTTTTTTTAGATTTTCAAATTATTATTTTTACTGAAAACTTTACTGAAAAAAGTGACTTGTTTTTTTTAAAATTCCGACTATCTTTTTGTTAAATTAAGGCTTGATATTTTATCTAATCTTATAATGATGTTGAATTGTGTATTTTTTCTTTTTTATAATTTATCCAAAAAAAACTTTTAGAAAAGCGAAGTCTATTCCGTTGTTTTACATTATTTGAAGCTAAAAACATTTATATTAATATTGGTTAGATCGTTACATTTACATAGCTTTTGTCGAAAATAAATGTATATTGTTCATTTTCTTGAATAACATAAACAAAGTTTGTGGACATGATCTACTTTTGTTTTGATATAGTTCATTCATTCATTTTTTTTCTCCCTTGTCGTTGCGGGTCGAGATGTTCCAATAAAGTATTCAAAAATACTTTTTTTTATCTTAATGGATATATTGCATATATTAAAGTTGTTTATAATGCATTAAATTTATTTTGTTTTAACAATTAAAAACTTATAAATATCGATTTTAAAAACTCTTCTCATAATATCTCACTAAATATAGACAAGAGCACTATTCTAAATTACTTTTGTGTCTATTATGTATATAAAACATTATCTTTTCTTTTCTCTCAGCTCATTTTCTAAGAAACAGTTTTTTAATATTTTCTTGTCATATCCTCTAATTAGATAGTTAAACAAGTGAGTAGTATGATCTTTGTATTATACTATTTTATTTCTTTTAAAATGCATATATATCACGGATAAGTTTTCTTTGTTAGTCTTAGTATTGTGATAAGAAGATTTGTCTAGAATAAAGAATGATAAATAGAGTCTAATGATTTTTTTCTTGAATTATTTATAGAGAATATACTACTGAAATAATGTTTGTATTAATGACAGTTTGATTTTAGGTCTCATTATTGGTATTTGTAATGGAGAGTTTTTGAGAGAGTATAAGGCAAATAATACATGTTGTTTTTTTTCTTTATTGAAACTCAGAAAGAACTTCTAGATTTTTAGATTCATAAGACTATTAGTCAGATTTTATTTTAAATGTACTTTTAGCTAATACTTTAAGAACTTTATTTGTAGAAAACATACAATTGATATGCTCTGTTAATATCTCCGTTTATATTTCCTTATCGTTCTCATTAATTCTTGATGTGTTCCTCTTTGTTAGGAATATTCTAATCCGATAAAGCGAACTGACTAATGAGTTCTATCCATCTATTAAATATGTTCTGCTCGGATGATGAGAATCTAGCTTAAATTAGAGTTTATATAATCGTGTGTCAATGGACAAAATCGAGTGTCATATATTTCATACATGTAATAGTCTTAACAAAATATCGTATTTCTTGTATTAGTTGCTGTATTGTATAGTGAATAGTCATGTGTGTTTTTGAGTGTTAGAAAGCTGGACCAAAATATTAAATAGATTAAAAAAAAATTGAATCAAAAATTTGTTAGTCTACAATATGAAGTTCTCTATGTAATATATTTATACGTAATTCTTAAGAATTACTGCCATAGGAAGTCAAGGTGACATTCATTCTATGAAAACTATTAAATAGAAAAATATTATAGATTGTACTGAGATATATTTCATAATTATAAATTGAATGTCAAGTAAATCTTCTAAAGGAATAGGTATGCTGTTAGAGTTGGACTTAAATAATCTATCTTTAATTAAGCATGTGATATCTTATATTTACAGAATTAAATTGATTCGATCGAGCAAAATATTTCTTTTTATTGTTAAAAAATATATCATACCTGTTTAATTACTCTTTTTTTGTACAAAAAAACAATCGTTTTTTTCAAAAAGGAAACTTATTCATTGATTTAAGAATCTTTTTTTCTTTCATTAGACTTAATTTTATTAGATAAAATACTTTTAGTCGATTTAAATAAGTATAGTTTAATATATTTGTCATTGTTACGAGGACCTATTTAGTTTTTAATATTATTTTATTGGAAGTAATGAAACTAGACATAAATAACTGTTGAAACCAAACTTTTTTTAATCCATTCTGCTGTTTATTTTAGAAAAGAAACAATTTTATCATCAAAAATAAAGACTTTCAATAGATCTACTCTTCGTCTATAATAAGCGTTTAATCAGGTAAGAAATATTTGATATTTAAACTTATATTGTAATATATATATGTCTAATAATACAATTATGGAGAGACATACTATTGTCTTAGAAATTCTTCTATCTGATTACGAAAGACAATAAAAAGAACTAAATTAAAAACATTATCTATCTATCCAGCTCAATTCTATGAAGATATATAAATATTTCTAATTTATGAATTTTTCTAGAACATTATTCAATCAAACATGGATGACATAGAAGAAATATATCTTCCATCGCGTAATCAACATCAGACTGTATCAAAAGTATCTAAACATGATTGGGTCCCTGTAACACATAATGGATTGTAAGTATTATATTTCTCTCACTAACAAATGATTTCAAAGAGAAATTCACTAATTATTTCTTTTTTGCAGAAGTACACGTTTCAAAGTTTTGATTGGTGTCTGTGCAGTGATCGGTATAGTTGTGTTTCTGGTTGCACTAATTGTACCCACACTTGCCAATAACAAATCAACATCCTCTACTAGTACTACTAATAGTGTTATGAACACAACTAATGAAACTACATCAATTTCTATAACATCAACTTTAACAACAACAACCTCAATCTCTACGACATCGACATCGACATCGACATCCACAATCTCAACTTCGACAACAACAACCTCAACAACAACAGCTTCAACATCATCAAC